TTAGTGCATGACAATCCTTGTTTACCCTGATCGAATGACAACTGTTATGCAGAATTACAGTTCAACTCCGTTGCATTTTCATTTTACAAATTAATGTTCGTACTCGTAAAGTCAGCGTGTCTTCTCACAGAGAATGTAATTGCTTCGCGTTTTCTTTGATTTAGCACACGAAACGTTCAAAGCCACCCTTAGTTTTGGATTTTCTTGCTTTTGAAGTGCTGCACTTTTAATTTGTAGAAATGGAATTATAAGAAACTCACTACAAGTACTGTATACGACATTAAAGCAAGACAATGCAGTAGTTAATGTGTTATATATTTGGCTTCATTTATCTCATTCATCATTGATTTTTCTAATTTCTTCCGCAAAGAAATCCATCATGAAAGAGCTTTCATTCGAGGCTTGGAAATTTTACCCAGCTGAGAATAAATTCAAGGCTGTCGAATTTTTTTTCTTCCGCTCACTCACCACGACCCCGATCGTATTTGACTAAGGGTTGCTTTTACTCAGTGCGAAGTGTTTACCTTTTAGCTCTATACTTTAGATATCCAACTGTTTACTAAAAGCTTTGAAATCAATGTTTTTATGAAATTTAATACTGAAAAATATCGTTAATGCCTAATTTTACGAGTATAATACACAGATTTTGCGGCTACATATACCACGCTGCTCTTTACGTTTCATTTGCATTTGGAGTTTTACATTTTATACGAATCAGATAAGTATAAGAGCCATACGTTTAGACCGCTTTGAATATGATAAAAAATGTATTTGCTTTCGAAAAAGATTGACCGTTATGAAAGAATATTTCATGACGTTCAATAAAAGCTTCAATATTGTAAATACGTTCAACAGCGATAAACAGAAAAAGCTTTTTTATAAAACAGAAGAGATAATAACCTATATTTAGCAACCAAGTGATACAGTCGTTAAAATATTCGCAGTGCCGAGCAAAGCCAAAATTAGCTCTTGCAGTCCCATTGTTTGGCTCTCTGCATTTTCGTCGTCTTTCTTTACACATGCGTCCCCAAGTTCAAATTTTATTCTCTTGAAAGATTACCTTTATCATATTCATACGTCACCGAAACGCAGCTATGCGATACGCGTGCTCAGTGAATTCGTTCCCAACGCTTCGAACGATTATTTTCGCGTCGAACGGATGTTTTAAATTCAAGACTCTAATTGAAAATCTCCAAATCATACGAGATATAGCAAAATATTTAATTTTGAAATCATAAGTCGAACGACAATGCTTGATTATGCACTCAATGGCTATTCACATTCGCACAACGATACAGTAATGCAAGTACTCTCTAGATTTGTCGTTTACCGACTTTCATTTATTTGTAATTGAAGCTGTCAATATCTAGTTAAATTATAGTAGTTAAATTATAGTATGGAATTGATCGAGTACAGAAAGCGGTTGAACAAGATAAAAATTGTAATGTGGAAAATGCAAAGACGAGATGTTGGAAGTATGTACGGGACAATGTAAAAATAGCGGTTGTGATTGAAAACTCGGTGTTGATCTCTGCACCTAGTTCATTCGCTACCAAGATAAGTTCGACTCGTTAACGTGGATAACCGCGTATGCGCGTTGTTCCCGTAATAACCATCTCAGAGCTTCGTGAGGCACATAGCGCACGAAGGCTGTTAGACCACGAAGATGCACATGGCTTCCGGGCATTGCCAAGTCACTCAACGTCTCCTACAGGGAAGACTATTGACAATCTTGCCCTAGATCGGCAGGTTGGTGAGGGAACCAAGTTGACGGGAGAGCATCTAGGTAGAAATCAAAGAGTATGGCGGAGCTACTCCCGCGACTAAAAATAGAAGAGGGGATGATGAAGTTCGGAAGCTGTGCGTAGCTAAATATATGTTTAATGTGGATTCATACTTCAAAAAGACAAGTCGTTTTAGTTCTAAGTTTGTGTGTACTGCGCGTGTAACGTAAAGCATTTGTAGTGTAAAGAATTTGTTTCGTTTCTATCGATTTAATCGGTTAACTGCTTTATCAATTTCTTTCAGTAATATTAATAACTAAAAATTTAGAAATATTCTTGTAAAATAATGGACTTTTCATCCAGCAACTATGTATTATTAATATACAAAGTACTAGAGAATTAAAAAATTTCAATTCGTTGTTATTCACCATGACCACTCGGTCTCACGTCTTCAACAACAATCCTTATTTTTGAGCACAACCAGTAAGCAAATATATCGTAGTTTATTGTACGTATGGATTTTTTAATCGTATTAGGACGTCTCCGAAGGAATTCTGTTTAATGCAACAATGAAAAAAAGTTAATTTTAGTTAGAACATTCCGAGCATGTCCAACACTTGTTCGTCACCTGTTGTACTGCAAGAAAGTTGTTATACAAGATAGATAATGGCTATAAATATTATTATTAACATCACTATTGCTGTTATTATTATTATTATTATTATTATTATTATTATTTTTGAAATGTATGTGTATGAGTCAGATATGAGAACAAAATCAATCTATATTTATAGTATCCATATCTATATAGTATAGTATTGCCGTTCCCACAGCGTCGATATTGAGACAGGGTGATAAAATCTCCGAATCATAAAACACTTGATTCACTTTTTAGTCAAGAATAGACGGTTCTTCAATCAGACGTACCTTTTCTAGTACACTTTGAATAAAGAACTTACATTGAAAATATAATTCCATCTTTATTTATTTAATATTCATCCTATAATCCAAAAATATTATTATTATTATCATTATTATTATTATTATTATTATTATTATTATTATTATTATTATTATTACTATTATAAATGCAATAAAAATAAGATGAAAAGAAATAAGAGGATATCAAGGTTCAGTTTTATGTTTCCGGCTTCATTTTGAAAATAATATCTTGGTCAATATGCATTCCTCCTTCGCGTTCCGCTACATACTGCGGTCACAAGTGTCATATCACCTTTTGTGTTGTGCGTATACGCATCACAGTGGAAAATTAATAAGCACATAAATCTTTATTGCTAATATAAGTACCTTTATATTAGGAAATTACCTTTCACATTACTTCATTAGATTTTCTGCAAGCAATATTAGCAAGAATTTCGTACTTAAGCCCGATAACGAAATTGACAAATTTTCGTTCAAATTCTAAGATAATTCCCATTGGTACCAGCTTCAAATTATATGTATGTTTTGAGGCACTTCGATGTAAATAATATTTTTACAATAAAATTTTATATTCTCAGCACACGATAAAACTCGTATAGTATTCTTCACGTTCATCACGTACTGCGAAAAAAAAGATCAAGCTGCGAAGAAAATAAATCCAATGAAATAGCCTTCTATATAAGGTGAAATTAGTTTGTGATGTCAACAGAGGCTCAAAACGTGTCAGCGGAAGTTATTTCTCGACGAGGAATCGAAAGACGGCAACGAACGGACTCCATTGTTGACGCGTAACGTTTGGCTTCTTGATAGAAAAAACACTCCAAGCGGCGCATTCATGCTGATATCGATGTTTTTATTGCACGCCTTTCGAGGCGTTTTTATATATCTAACGACGTCGAAAGCATGGTCTATATGATTACATTGAAATAGGCTCTTAAAATTAGTGTAAAGTGCAACTCCTTTGCGAGACTATCTTAAACCATTTGAAGAGTTTCAATTTCAAAAGACAACCTATACACGATTTTATCTACTTGGTCATTGTTGAGATTCCTTCGGTGCCTGGACTATGAATAATGCGCAAGAGAATGTTTGCAAGTATGCGTTCGAAACTTTGAGCGTCAGTTCACTGCTTATCGAATAAGTGCAACGCGCATAGCTGGAATCGCATATTTCGCGCAGAATATCCATCGGCGATTCCGTCCAATTCTGTCCAAGTGACAATTCTGTTGCGAAATTCATTTAAAATCGACATGAATGAAAAGAACCTTGGCGTTCGATCGACGCAAGTGGGCGCTCGCACAATCGCCGCATCGTACCGTCGGCATAGAGTATTTTTTCGCAAAACAAAATTAGTAGATCACGTACCCTATCACGGTAAACCCATGTGTTTACATTTAAACGTTTAATATGGCGTCACCCATAAGAAATACATTGTCCTCAATTTTATTTCTTATGGGTGACGTCACAATTACACACTTAAAACATTTAAATTTAAACACATAGGATTTTAAGGTTTTGCCGTGCTAAGTCCATAGCACGTGAGAATTAACATCCAAGGCGTTGCCTTGTGCTATGGACTTACCAATACTTTATCAGCTTGGATACGTAATCCACTATTGCATTTACATTATAATTAAATGTTACAAATCATCCTCATGAACATATTCTACTCGAATACACAGATGTATTGCAAAGTTTGATAGTAGCAATCGATTACTGACCGCTAATAAAATTATTTGTATAAAAGTAATTTCTCCGACAATATTTTGTGCGTTACGACGAAAAGAGTCATCTGCAGAGCTGCGCGTTGACGCATACTCCTTTGAAGTAACACCGATGTCGCATAATTGCAATCAAAGTTCAAGTGGTGCGTTACGACGCCTTAAAATTTCATTGTTCGTAAAATCGAAAGCTGCACTCCAAATGACTTGCGACAGCGTCCGTACCATGATTATTTTTAAATGTGCATGTCGAGTCTCGCCGTTGTTTTTACGAGCGTTTTTATAGGACAAGCGAGCCATGTTTATCTGATCAGCATTGACTACTTGATCTTGTCGCTTTCTAATAACAGGCAATATCAACATTTCATTATTAGGAAAATAGTACGTAGCGTCGTGCTTTATTTTTCAATAATATTCAACCGTTCAGTTTCCTGCACTGTAAGTCTGCTCCTTTGACGACTACTTATGTAATCTGAAAAGATTCTCGGAAACACTTTTATCATTAAAATCGTGATACATATATGGTAGGATAGACATATAAATGTTTTCTCGTTCACTCGGCCCAATATAGATCGTTGTATGTAATTTTGGCCTATCCTCATTTCTGTTGCAGTGAAACTGTCGAAAGGAGGGAAAGGTGCGAAGAAAGCCATAAAAAAAGTGCGAGTGTCGTAAAGCGCCGCGAAGCGGAAGGAAGTGGCAAGCGGCACGAGGTCGAGAGTCTAAAGCAGCGATCTCGTCTTTGAAGGAAGAAGAGATCAGACTACGGTAAAACAAATTTTGGTGACGAGCTCATTAAGCGTCCGTCGCGACAATGGGGCATGCAGCACCGGGTTCTCGCGAGCGAACAATAAAAACCAAAGGGAGATAGAAAGAAAACGAAGCGGTCCGACTACTCTATAGACGGGACATTGGAAAGCTTGGGAAAGCTGGTATTTCACCCGTAATTACTGAAATTGGCACGCGTTGTAGAGAGACTCGCGTGCTCTCAAACAGTTTCCTCCTCACAAACACGCACACATAAATGTAGCTCGGACAGTTCGGCTTGACACCACCTCGCGTACACACGGCAAAAATAACCAAGCGTTGCCGAAGTAAGCGCCAGGAGAGAAAATGCAGGAGAACTTTCGCCGTTTGGCCGTGCACGGACGTTTATTCTGCGAAAGAAACGCCAACGTATAAGTATATATATATATATATATATATATATATATATATATATATATATATATAGCCAGATCGAAACTCAGAAGGCCACTCTGCGGACACTTTCGTCGATATCGCTAATAGCTGGGTTTTCAGGCGCGGATACTATATATATACATACGCACACACGCGATCCCCCTCATTTCAGACCTTTCGCGTCCCCCTCTTTTCTTTTCTCTACTCTTATCAATCTACTAACGCACTGATTTCGATTTAATTATTACTTCGTTTGCGGCGACAATCGATTGGAAAATGTACATGGCGACAAACCATGTAATCGGAGCACGCGATACGACTCGTTCCAATTTCCGCGCACACGACGCTGCTTACCAAGACGCATTGCTCGATTATTAAAAACCTGCCAAAAGTTCTCGCGAGGACGGCGGATTTGTCGATCTCGACGCGCACATTTTGCAAATTTTAATGTCCGCGCGCAAAAGTCTAATTTACTCGGCTTTGTGCCGTTACGTTTCGCGCCCATTGAGTGCGCGCGTGTGTATTCCCGTTTCAATTAAAATTTGCAGGCGAGTTTACTCAGAGTCGGGCGAATATTTTAATTAAAAGAACGTCTGCTGGGCGGTCGGGCGACCAAAAAATGTCGAGAGAAACAGAGCGACTCTTAAAGCTACCGCGAGTGTCATTCAGACAGGAGAAATTTCGTTGCGGGTCGGGAGGGTGGAAGGGCGGGACAAGAACGAGGGCGCCGGCACCTTGAAACGGGCTTTTCGTATACTGTCCGCTTCAAAGTATTGGCCAACGAAGGATCGAATGTCCGCGCGGCTTGGGACGAAAAACAGTTGCAACGATAACGCGCAGCTTTTACGAGAGCTATTAAACGCCCGGTGCTCGTAATATTTTATTTTTCGCGACACGTGCCGTGGTCGTGGCGAGCGTCCGCGAGCGCGCGGACGGGCGAAAAAAACAGTGCAGCAACGTCGTCGGCGGCTCGACGCGGGACGGGAGAGGTGGTCGGCGGGCGTGACGCCGTTAAAACTCGAAGGCTCGCGATAACGAGGATGGATAGAAATTTAGGCTCGCTGTGTTTTGCTGCGCACAGGCAACGACAGCGGCGATGGCCGCGGCAGCGCAAGCCGCAGCGATGTCGTCGTCGGTGGCGGCGGCTGATTTGAAATTGAAATGGCGCGGTTTCGAGCGAGGAGCGATGAGCGCGCTCGTCAGCGGCCAGCAGTGAAGTGCATCCGCTGCGAGATGTCATATCTGGCGGCGACGACGATCCTGCCGGAGGCAATGCTGGACGTCCAGGACCAGTGCAACGAGTCGAACGTGCTCAACGCCAGCGCCTCGCCGCTCGACTGCCCCGAAGTCAGCTACACGCCCTACGGACAGAGGGTGGAGACCTATGTTGTGCCCGTGGTTTTTGCCTGCATCCTCGTCGTCGGCGTCCTGGGCAACACGGTCCTCATCATCACCATTTGCCGGCACGCCACTATGCGCAACGTACCCAACACTTACGTTCTGTCGCTTGCCATCGGAGACCTCCTCGTGAGTATCGCTCTGCTTTTTTCAGGCTGCGAAGGCTACCTCTCCTTTCGCTCTTCAGCCACTTACCACCGACGCCGAGCACGCGACGGAAACCGTCCTTTCTTCAACTCCTGCAGTTTATACTTTCACTCGGTACAACCTCGTAAAGATTGTCGTCGGCCACTGTATTTCCTTGCCCCTTTTGCGTTCGACCGTAAATACGCTTTTTTACGCCCTCGTAAATCTCCATTAAAATAGCGGCCGCTCAAGCAAATTTTTTTCTCCCGGCCCTTTTTTCCCTCACTCCGGATGCAGATGTACGCCGCGCTACGTTAGCGCACCTTTTGATTTCTGCACCTTCGATCGGAAAAACTACCGGCTGCGCCTTGTTATATATCGTTTGCAGGATGCTTTCGAAGCTCTCCACTCGTTTAGCGCGTTTTCGAGCGCTTCGAACGCTGCTCAATAAAGCGCGTCGCTGTCGCGCTCGATCGATCGGACATACTTTGAAATTTGCCGTCAGCGCGAGATTTTTCCAACTCGGCAAGGTCAAGTCGGCGGCCGATTCTCATTTCCAATTAATTACTACGACACTTCGCAAAATCAGCTTTGCTCCGAGAGCAAAGTCTCAAGTCAAAGAAGCGAGCTGGACGTCGAGAAAAGCTCGCTGTTCGTAGCTGTCGCGCGGTCGTGGCGGCGAATCGCTCGTCCTTGTCGCCGTCGCTACCGAACTCGTCGAAAGCGAGAGGGAGAAGAAAGCTCACTGTCTCGAAATTAACGAGGAATCAGCATTGCTTTGGCCAAGCTCTACAACCAATTGCCGTGGCGCGGCCAATTGGTCCGTGATTAGTGCGACACGAAGCTACGTAGGTGGAAGTAGCGCGCGAGCGCTGCCGGAACGAGTTCGCGAAGCTCGTTACACCCTCGAACAGCTGCCGACGAAATCCCTCTCCCCGAGGCAAACGTCCGAGGCTTACGTCTTTCGATTTTCTATTCACCTGTAAGCATCGCAATAACAATTTGTTCAGGTGATACTGATTTGCGTCCCGTTCACCTTTGCCGTTTACGTGCTCGACTCATGGCCTTTCGGATTGGCGCTCTGCAGACTGTCCGAGTTCGCCAAGGACGTTTCCGTTGGGGTGTCGGTCTTCACTTTGACTGCCCTGTCGGCCGATCGCTTCTTCGCCATTGTCGATCCCATGAGAAAACTGCACGCCACAGGTAAATCTCACATTCTAACTTTGCTTTGTTAGCTCAACTGCGCGACGATTTAGACTGCAATCTCGTTAATTACTCGGCATTCCCACGGAGATGTAAGCTAAATTGCAGTTAGTAATCAGCAAACTTGATATTAGATCGCTTACACTCAACTTATGCCAAAGCCACGCAATATGACGTACTTGGAAGAAGAACTGTGTGATGCGCTTTATTTTACATTAAATAGGTATTTTAGATTAAATAGGTTCGTCGTTTTTTCTGCAGTTCAAACTCGCGTGTCTTCCTCATTTCATACGAATATTTAATTCAATCCCGCGGTCTATTACCTAATAGCGCTACTCGGCTTGTCGCATTCGGAACAAGGCGACATTAAAGCTCAGTGCTTAAGAAAAAATCGAAATGGTATGAGCCTATAGATACAGGTCACTGGGTCAGCCAATTATATTGGCATGAAAAAAGTAATAAAGACGAAAGACTTAAGAATTACCAATACAATTTTCGTGTAGAAGTCCTGCATGCTACATTCACGTTTTGGAACGATGAGATCTTTTTATTAGGTGGCATTAATATATACCGGGAATTTATGATTGCGGAGCTGGGCAAGCGCTACGCGGAGAATCTCATCAGACGATTAATTAAAAAAAACGGAATATTCGATTTCTCTTTGTTTTGCTGTTTCAGCACGGTTTCTTATGACAGACGACATTTTACCTCTCAAGACGATACTTAGTGAGCTTCATATTTCAGAAATGTAATAAAAAAAAAATAAGTGAGCGAACACCAAATGACCAGGGGCTCAAGGGACCATACCATAGACTTTCGCATCCCCTACACTCGCTCAAATAAGTTATCCACCTAATGTTATGAGATATTTTGAGAGTTATCCATGCCGCGACGAGGGTTCGAAAGTCAACGTAGCGCGAAGAAAATGAGCTTTGCATATGCTGGATGTACACGCTGACGGATTAACGAGGAACGTTGAATCCGGGTTGCGTACTTTATTACGAAAATAACGGTCTACGAATAACGAAGCGCGCGAGCGGCGCAAAAATATAAACGCGTCTCGTGCGAATGACGCTGGATTCGGAATATGCTCTGGAGAATAATGTAAGTGTGCAGAGTCGCTCGGGCGCACCTGCGGTGAGATTGTGTATATTGCGAAGTTAGACACACACCGAAAGTGCAACTCGGCGACTTCTACGCCCACTGCATACTAATTGCATCAAAGTAACTGCGTATAAGCTCGCCTTCAGACGTGGTGTCACGATTTCCTCGACTGTTTTCGCGCGTAAATATCCCGCTCGAACGACGGCTCTCGCTGTGTACGCTTCGAACGAACGATCAAAATAAAGCAAAAACGGAACGAACGAGCGAGCGCTTCGCGGCTTTTTGATCGATGCTCGCGCGAGGCGTTAAAGAATTTTTCGCGCGAGGCGCGCCGCTGATTTGAATTTCCGCCGCGAGAGCGGAACACCGCGGGAGAGACATTGACGAATGCCCTTTTCATTTGCTCCGCGGAAGGAAAAAAATTGGCTCGCCGAGCGAGTCACAGTGGAAATGCCAGACGTTAATACTGTATTTGTTGCAGGTAGCGGGAAACGAGCAAAGTGGTTCACAAAAATAGTGGCGTTTTTAATCTGGATGCTGGCGACGTTCTGCGCGATACCCGCGACCTTCTCGTACATTCGTGTATTCAAGGTCAACAAGAACGTCACGTTTTTGGTAAGTCGAAAGCTGCCTGAATTTAGCTATCGTTAAAAAGAAAAACCAATTGTAAACTTTATTCTGTCTTGAATGTGGCATCAGACTTGCTATCCATTCCCGGACCAATTCGGACCAAACTACCCTAAGACAGTGGTGATCTGCCGATTCTGCATCTTTTACGTGGTACCTCTGAGCATCATAGCCGTGTTCTATATACTGATGGCCAGACACCTGATGCAGAGCACCCGAAACATCCCTGGAGAAAAGCAGGGCCAGGTAAGCTCTCGGGACATGATCTCGCACGTGAGACGCCGTTCGGCCGATCTTTATTGTATTGTCTTTCGGCCCGTGCAAAATGGTGTAGCAAGCATCCTATCTCGATATTGGATTCGACCTCGCGCTTACGAGCTCGACTGCACGCTCGAGGGGCGTCTCTCCCGGAAGGAAGTCTCGTTTCATTTCTTTCTCTTCCTCTCCCTTCAATCGAATCGCCGTTTGCATCAGCTCGAAATTGAAAGCTGGAGCTGCGTTACGGGGCTGGAATTTTTAGCGAAGAAGCTTACGCGCCACGATTGATCTTCAGCCGGAGGGGAGTAGAGATTATCGACAGGGAATGCTTTCTCGACGATGCAAGAGCACCTCACCTTCACATTAGCGGTCCCAAACGAAATCGTAAATTACGCTTGGCTCTTCTCGATGACGAGGCAAGATGCGAAACAAAGGAGCGCTCCGCTAGCCCGCCAACGGTAAAATTATTCGAGCTGCCCACGGAGCACAATTAAGATATTTGTTGCGCCGCCGGGCCGCAAGCTGCTCCCGGGATAATCACGACAATCTGAATCAGAAGTCTCTTATCCGCGCAGAGCAACGGGGAGCGTCTCACGGACAATGAGCTTGGCGCGGCCCCCGGTCTACGTCAAGTCGCGACGAGGTTCCGCCGACAGAAAGAAAGAAGCGAGGCGCGCACATTAATGAGACTGCGATTTCGCCGCTACTCGAATCGGTAAAATACATCTCTCAATGCGGTCTCCTGCTCTGGATCACTAATTCAATTTCCTCTTTGAGAAATCGAGACCTAGCACGTACCTCGTCCTCTCAAGTGTTTTTCCTTCTCTCTCTCTCTCTCTCTCTCTCTCTGGCTCTCGTTCAAACTCTACCTATGTATTTGCTTCGTGCGCGTGACAGAGATATTTTCTCTCTGTACACGCGAGCGGAGTTTCGCTTTCTATGAGCACTGGCACCCAGCCAAATTTGCTCAACAATAACAACAATATGGTACCGAAGCTCTACAAACCAGCCTCGCAAAAGCTTCTACAACCGGTCGTTAAGCATAAATCACTTTGCCAGGGGACAGTGGACCGCTCTCACTATCTCGAACTCTGCTTCTACTGACTTTTCAATTATTTATTTGCTACCCTAATTATGCGTTTGAATTGCTTCATTTGCTTGCTCCATTTGCCATTCAACGATGAACTCGTTCATTTAATCGACGCACACATTTGCAGCAACAAGTGTTTCTTCGGACTAATTATTCCAATTGAAAATCGTTGAATATTCTCAATGTGCGTCAAAGTCCAAATTGCATTGCTATGTCAACGAATATTCAATTATGATTTACGGAAACCGCCTTAGGCTAATTATTAATTGACATGGAAAATTATTCGGCTTATAACGACATAAATTTAATAATTCCTGTGAAATCAATGCTCTAATACCAATTCTAATACTAATGGAAAATGCATTCAAAATATTGTTATGTAAATCGCACTTACAAATATTCATATTGAACAAGATTTTACTAGAACTCATTAATGAATTCTATACAGCAGTTCATAAAATCTATATACTCCTCCATATGAATCAATACATCGGTTTCTTTATTAACTAAATCATAATTGTATTTCAGGAAAAAAGTTTACAAATAAGTCGTTTCTATGTGTACAAATCCATACAAGTTTCGCCGTAATTTCGGGTTTTATGTACCATCGTAGCTCGACGTTCCCTAGAGCAAGAATCGCGACGAATGTTTGAACAATCGAGGTTATTAAATTAATGAAGTTTAATTCATGCTGGGTAGTATATTTGTAAAGACCGATGTAAAAGTTTCAATTGTCTAGAGAGTCAAACTATTTGATTAGGTGATAGATAAGCAAAGCCTGAAATTAAGCGAATGAAACGGCAGAGAAATGGACCGTTGAAATGTCAATGAATAAGTTAATTAATTCTGACGACCATTTGGAATGGATGTTGATTCTCCTTGTGATGCTATGAAAAACAAATATTTGTCAAGCATGATTTTCAGTTTCTTAATTTCTTAAATGCATCCAGTTCAGAGCTCAGCATTCTTCATATTCCAAAAAGATCGACAAAAAGAAGATTTGCAATTAACACAATCATTCCTTTTTTAATGGGCGTTTCTAGTAATTAATTTGAAAGGAACATGATTGAGATATACCGCGTGATTTCGATTGGTATGTTCCGTACTAAATGCAAGTTAGGTATGCTCAGTTAATTCGCTTATTCAAAGAGAGCGAGAGAGAGATTGCTAATGTACTAATTAATACGGTTACTTGACTTTCCAAAGTTCGCAAATGGAATACATCAATTAAATACAAAATCAGGTCCACTTTGACGCGTATGTTAAAGATAATGGAAAATTAAAGCCTATTAAACGACGAGTGCGTAGAAAGGAGAAAATAAAATGTAAACAACTGTTTGACCGCAGGCGAAGCAAGTAAAAGCACGCAAGAAGGTGGCAAAAATGGTAATCGCATTCGTGGCAGTATTCGCAATATGCTTCTTGCCGCAGCACGTGTTCATGCTCTGGTTTTACTCGGACCCTGACGCACAAGAAAACTACAATGCGTTCTGGCATTGCTTTCGCATTCTCGGCTTCTGCCTGGCCTTCATGAACAGCTGCATCAACCCCATCGCATTATACTGCGTCAGCGGCACATTCCGCAAGTATTTCAACAGGTAAGACGAGCGTTTCCTTGCTATTGTTTGTCATTCGGAGCATCTGCGCCCTTTGACTGTACGCGATCGAGCCGCCAAATCAGCTATTGATCTTTACGGCGCACAATAATCGAGTAACGAACTTCGCATTGGCCAACGATCGCGCCCTCGGCAAACTATTAATTACAGGCAAACATGCATAGCCGAGCTTTGGATATACAAGTTGCTTGGAAGTAAACTTGGAAGCGATGTCGGTACATCGTCAAGCTCATCTAATATTTGTGCTCTTGAACATTTCAAACATTTCATTCGTAGCTTGAGCAAGAAATGGAAAAACATGAGAATTACGTATTATCCGGTATATCACGCGGGAGTACAACCAGAATTATATGCACGTGTTAAATCAGCATTGGACTTGTTTGCGTGCTGAACTTTCACTCGAATATATTGACGTATAGCAACAATCTCAATTTCGAAAGTAGGATCAATGTCGGAAAATTTCCGAGAAGATTAACAATTATAATTAATTTTCCTTTGTCTTCATACGTATCGTACAACGTGACTACGATGTAGCAAACCTTAGACGTGTTTGCAGCACGCGTAGCGTCGTTATATTATGCACGAGGGGGTAGCAACGAATTTCCATGTAATCGTTCTCTAGTGATTTTCAAAAGTCGCACGTAGCACCTTATTCTTTCTCCGGATCCCTTTTCGCGAACGTCACCTGAAATTTTTAAAAGTTCAGCCTCGCGGATAGACGTTCCGCCCTCCTATCCAAAAATATGGTCTCGTGAGATATCGTATGATTTCAAGGTGGCTGCGGGCTATGATCCGATCTCTCGAAGCACTGGCTTTTCTTAATTGTAAATCTTACTTTTTTGAAGTGCCGTAATGATGTGCTCTAATCTGATCTACCAAATTCACTGATAATAGTGTTACGCGTGTAAGTTACCGATTTGTCTGTAAATTTTTTAAATTTGAAATATATGCAAAAAACCGCTTTCATTCACCCTAACTCTTAATATTTCAATGATTGTAGATCATTTCCATCGAATCTTTAAAGCATTTCCCAGTGTACGATATCCTCACTAAAAAGGAGAATTATAAGAAGTGAAGACTATATTGATTATGATTCGTGTTGAAAATCAAAGTTATGACATGTGATTTGACTTGCTGATACGACGTAATGACTTGGCGCGAGAAATGGAAATTATTTATGTACTTTGTACAAATTGACAAGTGGTTAGCGCATGCAGCGTGCATAGTGATTACTAGTGTTATTAAATTAAAGCTGAGATCAAATTCTCTGGATAGGAAAATTAAACTTTATTTAATCAAGAATGAATTTTTATTTTGAACAAAAGAAACATTTTTCTGGAGATTCTGTTGCTGAATTACGTAAAAGTATTAATTTTAAACGACTCCACTTTTTTATGAACATATTTTTTATCGCAATAAGGATTTTCTCTCATCTTTTATTCGGCATATTATGAAAGCTCTATAGATTACTTCGTTTATGAGCTATTTTCATAACAAGATAGTGGTATATTTTGAACTATTAAATGAAAATGGTCTTTAACGAATTTTTGTATCACGAGATTTGCCGATATTATAGACAGTCGCGTTGGCGACTCGGGACTTGCGAGCGTTCTAAATTTTTCAACGGAAAAGTTGAAAGGACAGGCGATAACGTTGGAGGCTATCACAATACAGAGGGGGACAATTCCCGGAAGGAAGCTTTCTCTCGCGGGCGCGCGGCTAGAGCTGGAAATCATCAACACGAATGTTTTATCGCGGAAATTCCAGAATTTTACGCGATGTGGTACGGCGGTCGCGACGTGGAATCTAATATCTGCATATAACGCGTGCGACCCGCGCGTTTCAAAAGCGTTGGCCGAGATCAATTCGCTTTTGTCGTTTGTTCTCTCTCTCTCTCTCTCTCTCTGCTTTTTCCGGCGACGACGAATCTGTCGTAGCGCCACTATTCATTGTCTCATTTGATTCTCGTTTGCCGACGCTCTTGGAATTTAATACCGCAATTGGAACTGGGAGATTAGTGTCCTTTTGTAACTCGTTAAAATTCACAGCCGATCTCGTTGTTAAATCGATTTTTGACGCTCACTTCTGCTGATTGATACTTGATATCCGTGCGGCGAGCCTTGACTTTTCCTTACTCTCGCCTATTTGTGATTGCCGGCTTTTCATCAGTGCATGGTCGCAAGTCGAAATGAAGAAGAGGGGTCCAGGCGTAATCGATTGGGTATAAAACTTTTCGTCACTGTCCCTAACACGTCATCAAAACATCTGTAGACAAAATATATTGGCATCCTCGACTGGCCTGTATCTTTCGCCTTTTTCCTACACGTACGTGGCGCTTTTTCTTTTGTTCCCTGTAACCTTTCGCCTTTGAATTTTGGCAAGAAAGGCTAGTCTGAAAATAGTTCTGCACACGCTCGATACTTCTTGTTTTCGTCAAAGTTCTCCAATAAAAAGTTCGAGAACTTTCTGTTCGCTTGCTCCGCCTCCAAATCTGTTGAGCCTAATAAGAAATAGCTTAGCATCCGCAATGTTCCACAACGACTTGAAAGAGTTGATAGCGAGCAATTACCGGTGCCCTGTGAAAGCAAAACTGAGCGAGCAGAGATGGAGCTCGCAAGCGATCGATGGCGGAGATCGCAAGAATTAGCGGTGCCGTGGTGACGTTGGTAAATTGATAGGTAATCGCGTGGCATAGGAAATTCGTCTATGCCCTCGGTACCCCTTGCCTACGAACTTTAAGCTCTTCCGTAGAGGTAGCTTAATTTATGGATGCATCTGATCTAAACTACTAATTTACACCCTCACTGCCTGATCGCCGAACTTACGGAAGCTTACGGTATTTTACTCGCCTGGTTTATCGATTATGAGTTACGACCAGTCTACTTCAATACTTCCAAAACTCGTCGTAAATGCAATACCGCTCACCTGTCTTGCAAACTATAGATTCAACTTCCCTTCTAAACTTTAACTATTTCAAACTATTTTTCAGCTGCCTTCGCCGTGTATATTCCAAAAAAATAATGGTCATAAATAAATCATAAATAAATGAAAAGTATCATAAAATTGGAATGTTTTGAGAAAGCGAATATGCAAAGCGAATTCGACGACAATTTTTCGAAATATAACATTTTTCCATTCCATAAATCTACGTGGTAACAATTTTTTGATCTCTTGTCCAGTGTTACCTAACTAAGATAAAGAGACCTATAAAAATCTATCGAGTAATAAAGTCATTCGAATACGCACAACAAATTCCAATAGACTAAGCAAATATTATTAAACAAAGAAAAATACAACTAAAAATTTTTTTCTAATCGATAAATCTACTAGAAAATAATTTGCTCGCATATCTCGCAACATTTCCTAACCTACAAATGAACATTTATTGAGTAATAAAGTCACCGATTCGTACACATCCTCGCGGATAATTATCATAAAAATATATTCAAAACAATCTTCTTCACTTACACGTAGAATATTGAATAAAGACGAACAAACCGTGGATTTGAGGATTTACCGTGGCAAACAAGTCGTAAAAGTGGAAACTGTCAAAACCAGCGAAGATAAACCTTACTCCAAGGAAATAATACGACAATTGGACTCCTTACGAATTTTTCATTTGAATTCGACGTCGAATATTTTGGGAAAAAATGAATAAGCAAACCTTCAAGTTCAATTCAACAAACGCAGAAATAATTGAATATAGTTGTAGATCGAGCAATTTAGACGACGATATTCAATTTTCAAAATTAGTTTTGCCAAGAAAAGAACCTGAAAAGAAAATAGAGCTTGGCTGCGAATACAAACTTCGGTTTCTGAATACGCTCGTAGGGGAAAGCCAAATTAATAGGGAACAAAGAATGCGCGCATACTGTTAAAAGCAGCTGTTTGGAAAGGTCCGGACTCGGGACTATCGGAGCTCATCTATTCATGAAATCCCGTCATTGCGTGCAACGCCGCATCAGCTCTTGGCACACATACAAATTCGACAATCAAGTGGGCTTCAGTTGAGTTCGCCGTGCGATGAACCTGTTGTTCGTTTCTACGTTCGTTGCTAGAATTAGAAACGCGTTACGCGTTGCGTTGAGCTTCTATCGGCCCAAACTAAAGCTTGGCCAGAGAAAAATCATCGATATTAATGCAAGATTTTAGCAGCTTGGTTTTTTCTATTCATTACGCGACTGCATTGTTAACTTTGCAGATGCAAAGCCAGAAGTCGGATCACATTAGTAATTGCGATGGCTTCTTCGAGTAAAATCTCCCTCGACAAGAAGCAAATACTCGGACCGAGCTTCGCTAACGATTACCGTCATGACCCAGCTCACGACTTTACTCTTTCTCCGTTGCAGATATCTGCTGTGCTGCTGCTGCTGGTCTGCGAGACGAGCGGTCTCGCTGTCGTCGTTGAACCGCCGAGGACAGAGTTTCTCCTTCACGACCTCGCGACGTCACACGAGCTCACGCCGTGGCGGAGCCCACAGTGTCGTGCACATGGCCAGTTGGCAGCCTGGCAATGTCGTGGAGATGACCAGTCGCGAGAGATCGACGCCGCAGGAACCCGAGACCACCGTCACCGTCTTCCAAAACGGCCACGAGCAGCGCATATGAGGTGCCCCGAGTCCAACTGCATGCATTCGAATCGCGCGCTCGCTTGCCGCGCCGTTTCGATTGGCCGATAAGCAACGGGCCGCGCGCGCGCGCGGGTCGCCCGGCCGACGACTGCCCGTCAGCATTCGACTTGGCTGCCGCGCCGCGTGTGAGTGCGCGACGCGCAGGAAAGGAGACAGGGGGCGCCATCTTTTCGCTGGAACGTACGAGGCATTTCCGTGCTTGATTGCAAATTTAATTGAAACTGGCACGCGCTGCACACGCCCGGACCGGCTATTATCAATTCGGCGCTGCCGGCGACAAAGTTTGCGAGAGGTCGCCGCGCGCCGCGCATATGCATATTATGAATAAACATGACGCGAGGGCCGCTCGACCGGCTAACGCGCGCGCGCAGGACAATCGCCGGTGTTGACATTTTTTCCCATCGCTTCTTTTCTCTCAAAAATAAGATTGAAAATTCTTTGGCATTCCGAACGCGTGAGCCAACTATGCATACAAATGATGGAGGAATATCTTCACAGTATAAAGTGCTGAGCGTGAATCGACGAATCCTGTCCCTGCGGAAAATGACGCTGAATATTAATGCAAAGTACGCAAATGGAATGGGGGAGGACAAGTCTGCTCTTTCGCTCGGCCGCCCTGAAATAATGTCAAACTTTTAATGTTCAGTTTATTGTTAAAGCGTCTTTCTAAGCGCCGACCGCCAACGGTTTTTTTTACGAAAGAGCGCCTCTTTAGTTTAAAAACAACCCCACCGCGAAATGAATACGGCATCCGAAGAATAGGAGTGACTCCCACGCGGTGACAAAAGAATCGCGGCCCGTATATAAAGAACTCCAGTTTTTAACATAAAGTTTGAAATTTACGAGGACATGCGCAGGATGAAAGTCTGACTTTACATTTTTTTTTCTTCGGGGAGCGCGTGGGTAACTTGCCCACATCTTCGGATTACGCGTTGTCCAAAAAAAAAATAAAAAAAAAAAGCGTCCGTGCGAGATTGCCGTACACACGGCATACTCCGAATGACGGATTCACGGCAAGTAAAGCCTTCGCCGCAAATGCGGAAGAACAAATAAATTCTCCAGATTACGCGTTGTCCGGAAGAACAAAAAAAAAACAGCGTCCGTGCGAGATTGCCATGCATATGATATACTTTGGATGACAGATTCGCAGCAAGTAAAGTCTTCACTGCCAACGTGAAAGAACAAATAAATTTACGAGCGCGACAACCGAGGATTTGCAGGGGCTCTGATTTTTTCAAGCAAGCTGCCTTGCTCACACGTACCTCGCTGAATTATTTTATTTTATCAGCTATATTCTCACGCAGTGTTTGTATCACGACAGGGACACTGCACTCGTTTCCCTAATGATAAAAGCAATCTTCGCGCAGTCGTTTTTTCGACCATTTTTTACAGAATATTCACCTTCTACGCGTGGAAATGTATGTGTCTCTGTGGGACCTTAAGTACGTGTAATATTGACAATATTGAACCATGAATTTGATTTACCGACATCCGAGTCGAACGCATCTGTCGAAACGAAGATATTTATTTCGCCCCAAGTGAGACCACGGAAGTGATTTTTTTCTCAATCGCAATCTTACTATATATATATAGTATGTATATATACCCCTATAACACATTTAATCGGGCTGTGAATTTCATTGACAGCCAAACCCGGAAAACAAACAGAAAAGGCACTTTTCTATACACCTACGTCTTCATTTCTTACGCGGCAACGTAAACAATTGCCGACATATAAAAATTAATAGAATTCTACTTGCTTCCGTAAGAGCAAAATATTACCAAACACTACGAAAGAAAGTTCCTAAATTAAAGATGTCTATTTTTGAATCTGAATACTTTTAACTCATGTTTTGTCTTTTGAGTTATTGTATTTTGTACTTAAATGAACATAGTGATAATATAAAAATTCAAGTGGATAATTTTTATCAAATCGCAGTGGGTAATTCTCTGTTATAAATTTTTTACTAACTATTTTCAGACCTTTGTTTTCTAAATTTTGAAGTTATTATATCAACCTGGTAACGCTCATACGTGAAGTCTATAATTCATAATTCCACAAAAATATGGATTATAAATTTGTAAAAAAATAAATATTTAATATGTTGTTTTACTAAATACGTAATTAATTTGACCAAATTACTTAAGATTCTAACTAAATATTACACTAAGATACCTGTTCGTCTTTGCTTTTTAATGTGTTTATTAAAAATTTTAATCTCATCATTATCAGGTACAAGTAACTCATAGCAGCAAAATGTCATATAAACAGTTTTATCAATGTTCAATTATAATGTATAAACCCTTAACCGGTTAACTACGTATTTTAGTCATTTATGCATTTTTCCTATTGCAATATTCCATATTTTTCATCCCCTTATATCATAGGGAATGTAAGGTATGGTGTCATTTACATATATTAATGTAGTATCATTCGATATAGTTGCAAGCAAATCATTAACATACAATATTAACAAGAGTGATCACAGTATTGCATACTATTTGTAAAACTCTAATTTGATTGTTTAATAATTACTAGCTACATCGCTTAATTTAATTCTTTTTTTTTCTATCGATTAGGTAACTTCTAAGAAGGTCTCATCCTTTACCTCTTATACGGTTTCTGTACAATTTTTATACAAGATATTATGATCCACCGTATCAAAGGCTTTAGCCAAATCCAAAAAGGTTACAATCGTAGGAAACTTTCTACGAACATTTGTACTTATAATAAAAGTTAATCCTTTTCAATTTAATCAATTAAATAATTTATGTTATTACTTTCGGATTTATTTTATTTAATCATTTTATATAAAATTTTAAAATGTTTACTATTCATCTTGAATTGCTTTTCGTCATATTTACATCAAGTTTCTTTAATAATGACAATACCAAGCACCTGAAAATACAATATACTCGATTTTAAGTTACAAATTCAACGGTTGCAATTTCCATAACTTATATAATTGTGCTTTAGTACTGCGCGAAAGAACTATAGCTTTAATACATTTATTTTTATTTATTCTTTTGTTAACATTTTTCCTTTTACTATTATTTTTTAATACTTCTATATAGCATTTTTTATTTCGGTAATTATCAAGTTAGTTGTTAAATTAGAATCTTGCGTTAGTAAGTTTTCCCAGATAGTTTTTATAGTTTATTAAAATTAACATAATTTGAAAAAATATCTTCCTATTCTACATCAGTATTACTTGTTTCTAAGCGTAAAACTTTATAATAATCTGTATTTATATTTGTTAATTTATATGCTTTATATTTTAATACATATGATTTAACAAAAATATTATTAATGTAAGAAACTAATGTTTTGTCATTAATTAATTTCGGTCATTTTCGTTTTTATACACTAGGGGCATTAGACGCACTTCGCGCGCTTTCACCTTCTTTTTCATTTCTTGTCATATTGACTAACATATTTAACGTAATAAATTCCTTTTTTCAAAGGTTGATTTTTCAATTTTTGTTACAAAAACAAATCACAGTGGAAAACTTGTATTAGTAAAACATTTACGCGTATTCTAAGCTTATGAATTATCACATCGAAAACTGATATAAACAATCTCTATAGTTCTTTTCAACTATACAGGTCAAATTACTATTAAACGTTTATCCTACTCTTTTAATAAAAATTACGATATTGCAACATTTTTTGCAATCTCGTACATTCAAATATATCAGATTATCAAAATAATTCCAAGCACAATAACCTCTCGCTTTGACAAAATGATTTAATCGTTACTAGTTTCATAAAATGAGTGTAAAAATAATAACATTGTAGCATACTTTTTTATTTTCATTATCTTCAAAATTCTCCGTATCAATTATGATAAAATAAGATTTTATTACTAAAATTTTAACTCGAAATCACATCGACACGCATATTTGCTACCATAACAGTGTATCACGTGACTACATCTCAACCAATTAGATCACGAATAAAATGCTTCAATATGGCATTCATCACCTTTTTATAAGGGGATTGTTTTTATGTATAACTAGACAGTTATATCCTTGGAACATTATTAAAAAACATGTTTAAAATACAGTTCTTAAAATCCTTACTTAATATATTTAATTTTAATAGATTAATTGAAATGTCCTATTAGTAAATTATTCTGAATATTGTTAAATACTTTTAGATATTTAAAAAAATTTATACATAAAATCAGTTTTTTGTAAGACGTGATTTGTACATAGCAAATATTTCTATTTTTCGAATTTTACTAATTCTTATTGTAGAATTTTCAGATCATTTCTGTACTGCTATCAAGCGAATTCGTGATATACACTGTTAATTTTATTAATGGGATCATTATTATTATACAAATATTATATTTACTGAGGTGGCAGAATTTATAATTTTCTATATTCCATGTTTTCACACATATAATCGACATTCTTTCAATCACGATTTCCAGCTTGTTAAAATTATCATTTAAATTAGTTAGTTTAACAACATAATCTATGATTTCTATAATATATCTTTTTATTTTCAAATTACTTAATACCAATGACTTAGTGGCCGGTCTTACAATTTGTTTTATAATTTGTGTTACTACAAATATAATTGACACACTTTTTGGAATTAATATTTGTATATTCCTTTGTTAATATTTTAACACATTTTGAGCAACGTGATTTATTATTACACTTTTTTTTCTCTATGTTTGTACCTATAGAACTTATAGCAATTAGACTTTACGTTTATTACGTCGCAGGCATTGATATCTTATGCATACCTTATTATATTATTAGACCCTTTGATAAATTTTCACTTATAAAATTTATTATAAAAATATTTATGTTGCTTTCCAGCATTCCGTACGCGAGGAATCGATTTACGCACTCTCGGGAAAGCAAGCGTGCATTAAATCTCGTTTCGCACATATCGTATCGAAAAATAAAGTTACATATACGTGTGCGAGAAAGTGATATAACACTCGTGTGACCTCTTCACGGGCTCAAATCACTATTTTAGGTTAAAATCAGACTTTACAACTACATAAATTACTAAAGTGACTACATTTTCTCTAATATATGTCACTTTCACGTTCCTTATCAGTCAACATTGTCTATATCAACTGATAGTGAAACTATTACTTAATGTTTATTTTATTTAATTAATTATTACCTGATCAATACCTTTCTTTCTTATCAATTTTAATTTAATAATTGTGTATCTGTGCGTAGCTTCGTTACCCGATGTCTTCTCAATTTATAGCTTTGATTTTTCTTATTATAATTTAGGTAATCTCTTTGGTTTAGATATACTGATTAAATTGGTGAATAATCTCTCTGCGAAAATTTTCTATAACTTTTATTAGAGCCAGTTAATTGATATACTTTCTATTGTCTATCTCAGAAGCTTATTCATTTTCTCTAATTTTAGAATTCATTACCTTTATTTTCAACCTTTAATTTTCAACTATTTCAATTTCCAAATCTCGTTCATATAGACTATTTAATCAAGATTTACATTATTTGTTCCATTAACAATTAACTGTGTTTTTTAAGTACTTCCCTCTGAGCTTCCTCGTTTATTAATGCTTTTATATGAATGATAATTTTCTTCACTTCATCAGTCAACAAATTGTCATCTGATTTAGAAGATAGAAAATATTATTTATAGGTCTAGACAGACAACGCTTTACTTAAAAATGTTGTGTTTTATATCTTACAAATTTACATTCCGTTTTAGGATGAAAATTATAGTAGGCTATGCTAAAGCCACCCGCAATCGTCGTAGCGGCTGCACTATTGATTGACCTCTATACTTATAATGTTATGCATGAAAAAAATCGAAAATACCTAAGTTCTTAAATCTGTAGCATACTTAAATTAAGAATTGTTTTGTAGTGCAGTGAATATAAAAACAAATGTATATTTTATACTACGCAGACCTTTATCGATTTAATAATTACACTCTTGCCGTTTATTTCACAATCGGTTATTGAATAACGTAGTAAATAATTGTCAAATAAATCTTTATGAATACCAAGAAAATAGTCAGTTAAACCATCACAAAGTATCAGATTTGTTTACTTCAATAGCCTTCAAAGCCATTCGACTAAATAATAATAATTAACACGTTAGTCGTTCAATTTCGAATATGTTAGTTAAATAATCATCAAACATTCGATATTTACAATAAATAGTATAATTATAACTGAAAAATCACGAAAACATATCTCATGCGTTTAATGCTTTATTTGCTCTTTCACGCTGTTCGACTCAATAAACTCAGTAAATTGTAATTACATTCCGAAACGAACAGAACATAACTGGCCACGAAAAATAGAGCTTTGAATGATAATAAATCGCCACGGTCGTAGTATTTACGAAGACAGATGTCTGAAAAAGAGTAAAGGAGATCGACTAGGACTTTTTGCTTTCGATTTTTAAAATATCATCGCGATATTTTTCATCTGGTTCAGCAGCTCAGCACCTACATTTTTTTTATTGATCAAGGTCAGGGGAATGGCAATTTCACGAGTGTAAAAATTGTGTATACTCTCGAGAATGGAAGGGAAAGATCCGAGAGATTGAGAGAGAGAGAGAGAGAGAGAGAGAAGTCACGCACGCACCACGCACGAACTCATCAGCTTGACCGACAGAGGCGATAGGGAGGAAAGTTACTAGACGCGGTTTTATTTTTCATGCGCGTGTCTCGGCAACTTTTTCTTCTGTCTGAACGATAATCGGACTCGAACGAGGGAGCAAAGCCATCGGCGCCCTCGAGGATACCTAACGCGTAAAGGGCACATTCGAATCCGGAGGAAGGAGTTCACGGAGGTTATTGCGAAAAACCGCGAAAGAGCGATAAAACTCCGACTCGTCCACGTCGACTGTGCATAGGACCTGCACAGCCACGGCACTATTGCTTAGCTTGCTTGGCGCTAAATTAATTATCCGGCCTCGGCTTCCCTCTTACGCGCGGTAGGGTGGAGGGGGAGCAGCGCGAAAACCCGCTGCACGTCCGTTTACGCGGTGGCAGCTGAACCATGACGAGTCTCAAACCTCGCGGCAGACCATTACTCAAAATATATAAACCCACAGCCGAGCGTATCCAAGCGCGACAGCGGTTGTGCTGCCGACAGCTCCGACACGCGCGTCAGCCGCTCGAACTACGCCTCTTTTTTTCTCTTTCGTTATTTTTTTTTTATCTTCTACGAGCTCCGACAGATTGAGATTCGTCTGACAGAGTGCCGTTTAATGTGCCCATCAGTCCGCGCCACTGGCTCGACCATTATAGTTCTGCGCGAGGGAAGAGAGCGCAACGTTGACGAGCGCCAGATCCTAAAAAAGAATCTCGCGTGTCCGTAGTGAAATTGCGCTTCTTTATTATTCCCCACTCTTCGTTTCTTTTATGTTCATAGAGATTGCGCATTCGTAAGCTCGAAAAATCCGAATGCCCTTGTCGCAAGCGAACGATCCATTTGCTATAATAGGACTCTTGTCGCTCGAAGGGAGCATTCTATTTCGTCGATATTGCCCGATCAAGGTCAATTGTTTTTTCCGTGCGTGCGCTCGCCTCGTTGTCAACGCGATCCGCAATATTATCGGCCGTCGAATAACCGTGGATTCACCCTTTGCTTTCAGATCCGGCTTGCCGGGGCGTACGTTGGAGGGCTGTTGGCGCGGTAACAGAAAAGCCGCCGAATAGCAATCGCGATCCAAGCGATAACTCCATTCTCGACGACGAAGTCATCAGCTTTTTTCCCCGATCGGTTAAGCTTATTTATCGCGCGCCGACACACTATTGCAATTGAGATGTACGTGCGCGCGTGTGTATATGTTTGTCTGTGAAACTATGGCCGACAACCGTTGTATTTATACTTTTTTTGTATAGGCTTTCAGCAGCAGTAATGAGCCTTGTGAATTTTTTCCGTCCCGGGCGGACTTTCGTTATCGTCTTATAAATAAGAATTTATGTGTAATAACGAATGTCTTTGTAAAAGTGATTGGTGTATTGATAATTGTTTGTTTAATTAACTGAAATGTTTATATAATAATTGTGATACGATGAACATTATCAATATTTTCACCTTTTAATCCAGACCAAAATGTTAATGCAATTAATCGTATATTAGATAAATTTATTAAACGTTATGTAGATATTGTAGCAGCTTCATTGTATGATGACAAACTTAAATAAACGGACGAAAAATAAATAAGATGTTGAGTGTAACAGCTAATGCATATATAAATCACTCACCTTTCTATCTTTCCTTGCGCAAATTCTTACATTATCTTCGACAATTATACTGGGGTGTATTTGATTTCAGGCACCATCGAGCAGCAATAGTAATAATTCGCTTTTCTAAGATTGTGGGATTGGGCTAATTATTCTAGTCTAGGTTAATATCGAAGACTTTGTTCAATACGCACAAATAAAGGCACGGAAAACCCGTCGACTTCTGTAGATTTAAGAATTATAATCGACCGTTACAGTGTGGAAGATTTACGATCTGCTTTCAATATGGCTGGTAGTCACCCTGCTCCCTCACACTGTGCAGGGACATCTTCACATTTGTCACAAGATTATGGCTTTTCCACAAAATTATGAAAGAAACGAAAATTGGATTTGGAACTGGGCAATGTGGCACTCTACTATGGGTCAAATACATATAAAGCACTCTGGCAACTCCGGACGTTGCGCGGGAGGCCGACAACGGGATTAGAGGCTCGCCGCATCCCGGCCTTGCCGGAAAGAGCGAAAGAAAGAAGCAAAAAAGTGACGTTTATCCCCGGGACAACGGAGGAGGGGAGGGGCGAACGCAACAAGCGAGTAATTTACGGAGCGTTGGTGGAAAGTGAGAAAATAGAAAAACGCTCGTCGGTGGCGAAGAGCTGCGTGGCGATAGTGTTCGAATGATGAAGCTAAAAATAATCCAAGATACGTTTCGAAGGAATTCCTCTCGCAGACCCCAGTGAAGAAAAACAGATTTGAATTAATTTCAGGTACGTTTCGCACCGCGCGGAATATGGGGTAGAGCAAGTATATACCGTGGCAGATTCACTTGACGCGACAACGATCATCGCTGGGAAAGTCACTGGCTCAGCAGCAACTCTTTGATTATAGGAAGAAACGTTTCACGCTACTCAACGGCGAGATCGAGATAAACGCTTCTCTCTGCCAAAGTACTCGCCCCCTAAACTAAGAAGAGCGTAAGTAGCAAGGGACAATCTATACGTTCGTTGCTGTTGGCCAAGGGATGTGCGTATGTGTGTGGGTGTGTGTGTGCAGGTATAGTAACGCTTGTCACGCGTCAGACGCGCCACGAACTATATGCGTGGTGGCGACGTCTCCGGCAGCAGCAGCAGCAGCTGTGCTATCGAGCCAAGTCATCAGGAAATTGGTAAAGCTCCTTGTACGCGCGGAAGGTTACGACTCGATCACCGCTCTCTCTCTCTCTTTCTTTCTCCCTTCCCCACTCAGATTTTAATTGCCTCGGCTTTTCATAGCGGAACTGCTTGCTCCCGCGAGTTTGTCAACAAGCTTCGTAATTATACGATCATATCTCTCTCTCTCTCTACTTTTGGATTCGCGTCTCTTCGTTATCTCTTGCTTTGCGTGTACCAAACTTTCATTAACTTTCTCATCCGAATACAATCTAGACTTTCGTGCCCTGAAACGACCTACTTTCGTTCTTTTTGATCTTCTCTAGCTCACGCGAATTTTTATTTCTTTTGGGACAATCGGATACGCGTCCCGACGATATCTAGTGTCTCAGTTCACCAGAGCTACGTAAAAAAAAAACGCGTTTCCCTTTACTACCCAAAGCCATATTACGCGTTAATCAGAATGTCACTTCGTAAGTTTGAGCTTTCAATCGGGTTATTTCATTGAAAAGTTATAAATTGAAAGTTATGCCGCCAATGGGACGTTGAAAATGGTAAATAATGAATTACAACTTCATTTGGTCATTGGTAAAGCGATGCAAAATTAATCCAAAGTTTCTCGTGCACGAGATCTCGAACGAACGTCGACGCACAATTGAAAGCGAACTACAGGTAATGCGAAGTCCAGTGGGAGGGATCGGTCGATCAAATCATCTCTTTGGCTAAATGAATGAAAGAATCACGATAATAATCTGAAACTCCTCTTCTTTCATGCGAGCGCGATAAAGAAGCGTATGTATTACGTGTGTGTATTCGGCTAATAAATGTCAGTCGTAACGGCTGCGGGTGTCCCTATACAAGGCTGGAGCACGAAGGGCGCTCGCAGCGACTATAGTTTTCTGCGAGCTTTCCAATGAGCCGCGGAGCAGTCGACATCAAAACGATTCGAAGCGCAAGCCCAAGCCCAATCGAGATTGCAGATCGAAAATTGGCTGGAATCAAAAGACTCGCGCGCAGTGAGAGAATCGGATAATATTAGTTTGAAGGTGTACGTGCCGCGCTGCGGCCGCGGAAAGGGAAAAAGGAAAAGTCGATCCCGTCGAAAGAGGCGTTTGGCTGCCCGCTTCCGAACGGGAGAAGTGTAAATTGGGTTCAGCTCCCCTAAGGCTTCCCTTCCCCCCTGCGCCGTGCGCAGTAAATGCATGACTCGTTGCTCGCGCGCGTGCCGCCATCCGAGGGAACGCGCGAAATGTCTACGTCGACGAACGAACTTTTTTGGGAATACGTCAGCCAGCCGTTCTCCCAGTCGCACATTTCTTGTTTTAATAAGTAGATTCAAGTCGTATTATACGTTTCGCGGCAGTGCGTATGCACGCCGTGTATACCGAATCGCAACGTCGCTTCTGCACAGGCTTTCCTTCACAGCAAAGAGGCAATGTAGAATTGATGGATGAGATACGTCCGCTGAACCCGCGTCCACCTTCTTTCATGCGTTTCAAGATGAATTCTATTTTTGTTTGCCTTTTCTAATGTATACACGAGTTGCGAGCTGACCTATTTAACATCCAGCGCCTTCAAATATTTATGAGTTTTGCTGAAAGGAAAACGTATTCCAGTGATGTATGGAAAAGAGTCAACATTAATATCTTTATATATATGAGACGCGCTAAATACTTAATTGAACTTATTTAATTTATGATATTTGTGATTTCCAGCATGAAAAGATCACGTTCGATGCCTCTTTATTGTTAAAATTAGGTTTGAATTTTCATAAAAATATCGAATTCAAGCTCGAATAATAAATAAAAAATAAAAAAAGATAGTTTTTAGAAACATCTCAACGGTAACAATGTAATAAATAGATACGTATTGAATTTTAGTATTTACATCCACTATAAATTCATCAGCTTCGAATACATTCGTCTTTTTCAAAAAAGTGCAGAATTTTCATCAAAATCAGATTCCTTCATATTGCAGGATGTGAAAAAAAACGTATTTTTTTTTAGAACAAAAAGCCTGTTCGACTACTTTTTTCTAGTTTCAAAAGGGCAAATTGCAATTACAAGAATCCTTTCTTTTAATTTACTAGTGATGTTTAGTGTGCTTCAAAACTTTTATTCCGCAAAGTTCTGTGTTAAAAATAAAAAATACGATAAAATTTGTAATATTAAATTCTAAAAAATATTATTGTTTTTTATAACCATAACCTTCACTTCATGTAAATAAAGTAGACTGTAACACAATTTTTGGTAATAATCTGTTTTTATTTTGAGATTATTATGATAAAATCAATCAACTCATATTAAATTCATGTCAACTATACTATATACTTTTTCAGTGTTTAATCATTTATAGAAATTTGCAATAAATTTTACAATAACTGTAATATCTGCAATAACATATATATATTCTCACATAACAGCTGCTCACATAACTATCTTTCAACTTATCCGATCACGAAAAAACTGAATTCACTTTATTAGGTTCTCTTTTTTACAAGAGGAAAAAAAATAAAATTGAAATAATGATTAATAGTGAATCAGAAACGAAGTGGTAACGTGAAATCATAACGTCATATAGCGAAACTTTTGATATTTTCAGCGCGCACAGATTGAAATTCTACGGGTGTCGATCACTACAGAAAGAAATTGAATCGAACATGTTATTCAGTTTTATATTTCGATACGAACGTCCAAACAATTCAATGCAAGATATTTATATTTGCTTGCGCTCACTTTTATTGTTACAGATCTTGATATGTTTGATTGGTCGTTTATTTAACTGCAACTGCGATATACATTGACAGAAGTAATTGAATTGTCAATAGATTTTTTAAGGTGGCTTCATCAGGATGGGTTGTATCACATCGGGGCACCGTTGGGGATTTATAAAATCGAAATATTTCGAAACAAAACATTTATTGAAAATAGTTTTATATTTGATTGATCGTTCACAAATGAATTAATTTACATTCGATATTGGAAAAATAACAAAAAAATCTTTTCACTTCGTTATTTTCACGAGTTCATCTCTAAAATGTGACAATTTATTATATATATTTTCCTTTAATATCTTTTTATTGGTTCAGTAATTAGTACTTTTCATTTCAGATATAAATTTAACAGTTACATTAGATAACATTATGGTTTTTAGAAAGAATTTGTCATTTACTATTGAAATTATTAGAGGAAATATGAGGACGCAGTCCTCCTATATCACCGATGTACAACGACTTAACTTTGACAATTTATTTCACTCTATTTAGGTCGGTAAACCCCATTTATTCATACGGACTCTGAAAGTTCTTGCAAAATAGTATGTACATAATAATTTTGGTTCGATTCCGTCGTAAGACAAAATTTGATGAAGCCACCTCAATGCCCCTGTTCGATCTATGAAAATTAGAGTAGTAAAGCGGCGTGCTCAAAGCAAGAGATCAAAAGTTACTTTGATCGTACGAAAAGTTACGTTTGATCGTAAAATGGAAATGCAAGCCACGCGATATGGATGGGCAACTTAAAAATGCCGTTTATCAGTTGGAGTCGCTAGGGAGCAAGATAACTCGGAATCGTACAACGTTTCGAATGATTGCAATAACTCACCGTGTTAATTGGTCGCCTCGCGCAAAATAACAAATTGTCAATCACCTCTTACGTATCATTTCATCAAAAGCTGTTAACACTTCCACCGTTGCGAACGGTATGAGCAACGTGTATTATGGCCAATTAAAAAATCTTGATTTATTGTTCGCAAGTGTTTTGCTTCGCACATTTTGATGATCTTGTAATATATTATTTCTCAAGACCAATTAAACTATGGGAAATTTGGCGTGCGGGCAATTTCGCACAGTTTTAACAAAGAAGCTATATTGTGCCCAGAAGCACAGCAAACTAATTGATTCACACTATATTACTGTGCGCAATAGTCTGTGTATACAACAAAGGATGTGGACAATGGTTCGCACACACAAAATCCGAATAATAAAACATATGTATCTACAACTAGAAATTGCGAGTATGAAAACTGCTTATTGCAACGACACGTACACAAATAGCCTTCACATCAATGCGAGTAGCCGAATTTCATTGCTTTAGCCTTGCAACCAAGGAGTCCTGAAGGATGAGCGGCCGTGGACAATCTAAAAGTAACCACCATGACAGTCAGATCAAGCTCAGTGTTTATTTTTTCTCTTGTTCATGAAGTACATTTAAATAATTAAAGATAGTTTCCAGTTTAAAATCTAAAGATACCCTTGAGCAATAGACGTACTGTGTTGCGTGTTAATTTTTATTGTTGTATTATTCCCTGCCACTTTCTGTATTGTTAATAAAGTTTTCTTTTAATAATACATTAAAGCTTATTAAGAAATAACAACAAAAACTACTTGTAAATTCTGAGCAGTAATAACTTTTCTTTTCTACCAAGATTGGAAAACAGAATGGTAATAAATTCCGATTGCAAGTTTTATTAATGTTGTGCTTCTTAAACAAGTTATTAAAGCGTATAACTTAGATTAGCTTTCATGCTCTAATAAAGATCATCGTCACAATGTATGTCCTCACGATATACCAAGAAATATCATAATTATCGGTATTTTAACAAAAATTCAATAAAATCAATTATTCATGTATTTTAAATTTTACCTATCCATATTTATTTATTTATGTTAAATGAAGAAAAAAAATCGTAATTGATCTCACACAGTTATTACTGTGAATTAAACGTTAAATTCAATTATGGTGATCGTATATCTATCAACAAAATAATTATCTGTATAATAAATTATTAGGCCCAACAATATTGAACTCGTTGAAATGTATTCTGTCATGGACTACATTACGAACAGAACAATTGCACAAGTTTGTAAAAAATTCGCTAACGAAGCTGACCGCGTGATCTGGTTCTCCTCATTGGAATTTTGAAATTGAAATCAGGCGTCCTAAATTCCATTGTGAATGTAACGTCGAGACTTTGCACGCTCTCCTGAATTATAACGTTTATATACTCTGTTTCATAAACAACGCGCCACTCCAAGTATAATATTTCAAGTTTGAATTGTGTCCAGAGATTACACACAGAGCAATCTCTTTTTTTCCAGATTAACAGGTAAAACGTTTGTGTGATAGCATGGTTCATCTCGCGGAGGAACAAGCGCATTCATCATCGGCGGTCATGGTTGAATCGCTTGCGCAGGAAAAACATCATCGCTCTTTTTCCACGAGCGTGGAAGACGCCAGCATTAAGCTTCATCGTTACGAAGAACATAAATGTCAAAATTTTCTCTACATTTTCGGTCGAAACACCGATCTTGCGAAACGAAGTGTCACCGTTATTGATTACCTCGGACATATGACCGACAGTCGTAGCAAGTTCTACTTGAAAGTAAATAAAATTGTTCATATCTCTTATCTCGACATTTTCGATTGTGTGCGCGTTAAAATTGTAAATCGTCAGCGTCAATCTGATAGCGAACTGTATGTATCTTATAAGCTATTGTGCTCCCAAATTGTGATCGTCGAGTATAAAAGCATTAGTATAAACGATTGTCAGGTATTAGAATCTACAGCGGTCGTGCATCAAAGCACGTGTATGTTGGAAACTATTAAAAAGTTTTTTCACAAACCAGAGTGCACGGAAACGACTTTTTCGCTCGAGAAACAAAATATTTCCCAAAAGCGGACTACATCGATAAAGAAAATGAGTTAGCTTACGATACACGTCAGATACTCGCACATTACACTAATAATAAAGCGTGTTATCTTTACGTAATGTTGACGTTAACATTTTTACCTGATTGCTTACTTATTTATCCTACCGAATTCAGAGAAAAGAAATTAAAGCTAAAGTATAAGTCAAATCACGTTTACCACGTTTCCTAGTCGTCGTTGAGCTTGAAGTTGATCTTTTGCGAATGAAAAATTGTTCCTGTAAATGTTTAAAAAAATAAGCGATATTATCAGTTTGTGCAAAATATACGATAAGTTTTCCAACTAAATTTGATCCCCAGTAAAAAGATATGTATAGTAATAGTTATAAAACTGAAATATCTCTTATTATTGGCAATAAAGCATGGCGTTTTTAAGATATTAGATCTAGTAAATATGAGTCATTCAATAACCTACATTTTTTATAATAAATATATACAATATAATGATATAAAATGTATAATCATTAAGTTTTACCGGGTTCTATGACACATGCGTAATAACTATTTGAAACTAATATTTTTTCAACAAACATTTGTAAGGTGCCAACTTATAAATATTAAATAGTTGACTCCTGTATATTTAAAATTGTTTGTGATAAATTTATAGGATTGCTGAGCAAATATTCATTACGTAATTTCCTCCAATACAGACACATACTTTTAGATGATTCAAGCTGTAGTAATTTAATATTTCATTTTTTTAATCAATCGACCGCAAATATTTTCTTTGTTGAAATTAATATCAAGATAAAAAAATAGTGAAGCGTAGACATTATGCCCATGAACGATTATTTATTTTAATTTTTTTCCTTCATTGCCATTTTATGAAATCAAAATAAATATTTCCTACCTGTCTTTTGCAGATGTAACCATTAAACAATACAGTTTCAAATATATCAAATATCAACGTACTCCTCGATGTCCACACACACACACACACACATAATGCATTAAGATAAACGTCCGCTCGTGGCGGTTAGTTGAATAATAAACGCAATCGTGGAAAAAAATAGCTATGCCAATCAATTCCGATTAACTTCAACATCTACGCAATTGATTAATTGAATCAATTGAATCTAAGTAATCGATTAATTTTACTAATTCGAAAATGAATCAAACTTAGAAGAAACAATTTTTGGAAGTAGGGGTAAAGGTGGAATTTGTATGAAATAAATACATCAAGCGTATTAAGCTTTTATTAATCGATTTTATTACACGTTAATTACCACTTACAGTAGATCTAGAGTGTAAGTCAAGTAATCGTAATCAATACACGTTACAGCATTAATGCATGGTTCAAAGTAGCCTCTCTCTCTTCACTTTTTTAGCCACAAAGGACTCGGAACGAAAACAATTATATAACGGCTTTGCACAAATCCAAAAGTTTGTTAATAACATATAAATAAATACACGAACTTACTTATTACTTAGAGCTTAGTTAATCAGAGATTCTTCACAGTGACCATTTTTCGTCTTTCGTTCCTTCGTTAATACTTTTTTCTTTCATATAATTCTGTATTTTTTATTTATTTATTCATTGCCTTTATTTGGTAACTCTCCGGTTCCCAATTTACTTTCCATAAATGCGTGTATTAACGTAGTTTATATTAAATTGATTTATGCATATTCTGCTTGTATATATATATCATATATATAACTATTTATAAATAAGTGAACATATTCTCTTTTACAATTTTTGTCATCCGTCTCTCTGTAATTCCTCTCTATTGCACTTTCCTCTCTTTTTATGTTTGCTCTCTGCATACAAATTTTATTGAGCATATGTATTTAGTGTTTCGAGAAGGCGCAACATGAAATTGTTCGCAGCCAGTCAAACGCACGATCACGCACTGCGACAGCGTGGCCGGGTCGTTACGCGACGCGTTCTTTCGCGAATGGCCATCGCTTTTATTATATCACCGGATCGCACCACTTGTCATTGTACAATACCTCTAGTTTGTTATTCAAAGTGCTGACGAATGCTGCAATCAATAACAAAACGAAATTATACATAGCCTTAAACGCTACAACAGTCAGCAAGCAAAAAACGCGGCTATGGAAAATGCAATCAGCGCGCGCAACCGAATCTATTTGTTTTTCTGACCGCGCACGAGCTTTCTCGACAAAAACAAATATTGCCTCACATCAAGAACTTCTTTTTGCGCAATTCCCATCTATATATAATAAAATAAAAGTGATATCTGAACTGACGATCAATAATAATAATAATGATAATAACTGTAACAATGTTCATATATTCACCGGTGAATCGATTTCCACTTCTTGTCTTTCGTCATTTCTCTTTTGCCTTGCATTTCTAGAGATCGACAAATTATACAAAGGACTCTCTTCCGCGCATCACTCGCCATAATAATTGTTACTCTTACATCAATAAACAATATTCTTTGATGCTTTCCGTTTTGCCTTCTCTTGAACGAGTAACAAAAATTTCATGCAGTTTATAAACTTAGTGTGAGCTGCAGTGTACACGCACACTCAAGTTATAGCCAATCGCACTTGCACTCACACACGCGCACGCTCATTCTCTCTTTATTTCTGTTGACTAGAAATTATACTGTTGAATTTGAGTCTTCCCGCGTCGACACGCGCGGGTATATATTGTTCAGCCGTTCGCGCGCCGACGATGGATCGTCGTCATCCTCGAAACGGCTAGCCGTCAATCTCGCCTGGACTGCTCTCTTCGCCACACAGTATCGTCATAAAGTCGTCGACAGATAATAATTATCGACTCGAATCAAGTGCTTCATAGGCTCCTGGTCACGCTCCTATCCTTCTATCTCTTTCTCTCTCTCTCTCTCTCTCTCTCTCTCTCTCTCTCTCTCTCTCTCTTTCTCTCTCTCTTAAATGAAACGGATTGATGTCTGTCTATCACGCGAGAGAGAAAAGGGGAAAAAAAGCGATGTAGAGCAATCAAAAAAAAAAATACAGGCGCAACGAGGAGAGTGATTTGCGTCGTATTTACAAGGATAACGCAATCAAACTCGGTCAAATACGCGTGTATCTGAGTACACTCTCTGTCTTTTATTTATGTTCATTGTTAGAGCAACTCTCTCGCACGGGCCGAAAGTCGTCTGTTACTGTCTCGAGGAACAACAAACATATGTCGTCTTAGTAGTCTGAGTCATCGTCGGGAGCTACGTGTTTATTTGACAGTAGTCGCCGTGCGATATCTATCCAGTTTTCCGTTCTTTGCAATGATTATCATAGTATACCTACATAGAAAGGTATATCAAGGGAGGACTGCTCGTTTGCTTTCGAATATTAAAGTACGCGAAAAACGACGTTTGGAGTGGCGATCTGCTTTATCGTTCAATTCATTTGTTTATTATTTGCTTGTCAAAAGTCTGAATGTCATCTCCGTTAGCCTACCATGCTATCTATCTCACAGCTGCGATCTTGTCCCTTCGCATTCGATCACCCTTATTGCACTGCAAGTAGCGTGTTAACGCACGCCAGATTCTCGAGAACAAGATGCCAAGAGTCGGATAGTTGGTTTCTTCGCTCTGCAGTTGCTCATGCGTATAGTCTTTTTTCGGATGCGCGTCTTTGTTGAGAAGAGTCACGGCGGGGGGGGGGGGGCGGAGAATAAGGATAAGCATGCGCGGGGGTCGGTGACAGCGGGAAGCTACAGGTTACTGGAGGCGGGCGCGACAACGCCGAGGGGGAAGGATTGATCGGGGCAACGGTGTGCTTGCTGGCTCGCTCGAGATTGTTGCACTGTGGGCTTGCGCGCGCAAACGCCCCGTTACGCTATCGACGAACGCGAGGTCGAGCTCCTACAGCGCAGCTCGACTGCAATCACGTTCCGCGAAAGAACGCCCAGCGAGCGCCGCTGCTCAACCAACAGTCGCCTCGCCGCCGCTACTCGCAAAGCGTCACTCGAAAATTATAGACAAGCTAAATTTACAGTAATCCCCGCGCGCCTCGAGGGCAGAGTGCGACCGCTTGAGTACGATCCTTGAGGCCTTGGCGACAGCGCCCATCATTTCGGCCAGCGAGTCTGCCACTCACTTAGCTTGGGCTTGTGCTTCTGTCGTGCCGCCAGCCGTCGAAGCCACTGCTGCACCTGTTGCCACTGCGGCTGGTCCTTGGGGCGTCAAGCTGATTGGCATGCCGTTTGTGCCAGGTCCTTTGCGCGCCAACTTCGACCTTTCGGGAAAAATCCTCTTTAGGGTAACTTACGTTCGCTTACACGCGAATTATGCGAATGCCATTTTTCAATTACCTTATTTGACCGGCCAGCAGAGGATTTATAGCGTAAAGCCAGTCATAAACTTCCTTGTCTCCTAATGTCTGAAGAAGGTAACCTCGGTGCTTAGTTAGAACGCTGAAACGCCAGCAATTATCGTAAATTTCAGAAAACCTCGACGACCAAATTATATTTTATTCATACCTAAATGTATTGGGAACTTTGACCATGGATATCTGGTCCTCGGAGTATTCTACTTGGGCTGTTGCTAGATTTATCAAGGCTCTCTCTACTGGATCTTTCTCGTCTCGGAAAATGAAGACGTATGGTCGTCGAACAGACTGCGACGAGAAAACGACAAATATTGACAGGCATCGAGGACAACATCGTAATTCCAATAGCAATCGACTACTCACCACCCATCGCTTCTTCCATCCACTGGTCTTGTGCTCGAGTACGTTGAGATAGCCTTTCCTGGCGATCACCGGACTGATGCGAATCTCCTCGACTTCGGGTACGTAGAGCACGAGGCTCTCGTTGAGTGGCGACGTAGCGCCGAGTGGTTGTGGTGCCGATGCCGCTGGATTTCCGCCGGACGAGGCGCCGTGACTTGCCGATTCACCCGCCAGGATACTGTCCTGCAGCTCCTGCAGCCTCGCGCGATCGGGCGAGCTCAACCTAAAGATGCACGACTTAGACCTGCTCTTCACTATTATCCCACGGGACTGCAAGTAACGTCTCTCCTGTATCACCCGAGATGCAAACACCCTGCGCTTTTCTTTCTCTCTCTAATATCATTTTTCTTTTCTTTTTTTTTTCATACTCAGCGGTTGTCTATGACAAAGCAAGCGTCGAACAACTCCATGTAAGTGCTTTTACTCATGATAATCAAACGCGTTTTTGTTTATAATTTTACTCACATGTAGTGAATGACATAGGTAACTAATGCGATGTATGCTTGTCTCTCAAAACCGACAAATGTTGAAAATTTAATCTTTCACGCGAGTGTACGCGTGTATGTGTGTCTAGAGAAAAAAAATAAACCGTGGAATGTTTGGCTGTCGATCATGAGAAGGTAGATATCAACTCAACTACAAATGGTTGTTTTCTTTGAAATGTAGAAATATTTGCCGCAATTTGCAAATTGGCAACGGCTCTCTACTCCGTCCGATAAATATTTGTCCCTCTCGGAAAATGTATAGTGTTTATAAGAGGTGATTATTGCTCATGAGAATGGAATGTATCTACGTGAGCTGCACGAGCTGTTGCCAGAAAATAAATTAAAGAGAGGGAAGGGATCGTGTAGAGAAACAAATAAGGACTGTCTCACCAATACTTAAGCGGCAATATAGCGCGATGCAGAGACAACCGCTACAGGGTGTTTATCAGGTATACGAGGATAAAGTTACCTGCTGAGTATCGCATAATCGGGAATATACTGACTCTTGGGAAGAAGATGAGACGACGGAAGACATCATCGACGTCGTCAAATCGGTCATTGTGTCGTCACCAGGTGATACGTCAGTCAAGACGATCGGTTCCTTGTTCGGAATCCTACCCTGGATCAGCTTGATGTATTTCGTGGCGATCTCCTTTTCGCGTTCGGTCATTTCCCACGGCTCATACACGTCCTTGCTCGTGGATTTTTTTATCTTTACCGGGCTGGCCAGTGTCTCGTTGGTGGCTTTGGCCACCATGTTGCAAACCTCCTACAAAGTCGAAACAGTTAGCGACCCAATTTGCGCGCAATTTCCGTGTGCTTATACCTTCTCGCTCTTGGTGAAATCATGCGTGCTCTTGTTACAGATAATATTCTTGTCAATGCTGAGTTTGTCTCTCAGCAATAGAGTATGTCGTACGCGCTCGACCTCCTCGAGCCTTGTCAATTTTTCAAGCTCCCACTGGTGATCGAAGATAAGACTGTCGCCTCGTGGCCGCCAGCCGTCGAGATTCTCCTCGCCTCTCACGTACGTCGAACTCGTATCAAGAACTCGACGTTGACGTCTCTGCACACCTGCAATCAATCAACGCCGACTTTTCAATATCTTTGCTTCCCTCAGTCCTGACTAGAAAATTGCAATTGCTCGATGCCTTGTAAATTGAACTATCGATCTCGTTTTCCTTTGATTTGTTCCATACGTTCTACGATATTATCACTATCGGTATTTTTGATAATGCATCGATCGATTTTCAAATTCAGAGCCAAAAAAAAATAAAAAATAAAAAAAACACGCACACACAAACACGCGAACATAAAAAAAGGATTTAGGAAAGAAGGATATGGGCTTTTTCGACGTTCGTGCACGATGTAAACAACGAATTGACAATACAACATTGATGGATAATTACTAGATAGGGCAAACAAGGAGATCGAGGTAAGGGTAAATCTGCTATGGGTTCAGACAAGACAAACCTGGGCTACCTGCTTCAGAAGCGCGACGGAGCACAAGCTCGTAAACGCCACTCAGTCGATTGGCCTCCTGATTGCGATAGCTGCCACTGAACAAATGTTTCAACGAGCGCGGTCCAACTCTCGCGTCTCGGCCGTAAATAATCATGCTTAGATCTTTGGTGATGATTGCAGGTCGACCGCAGTTCTCCAACTGAGAATATAAATCGATCCATTAGTGAGTGAGTTGATCGACAATAAAGAGAATAGAGAAAGTGTGGGGTACCTCGAGATAGGCTGAGATGGTCATAAAGATCTGCTCGCCATAGGAGGTGACGCGATTGAGAAGTGGCGAATTATGTAGAGAGCTGTCCCAGGCGGCTTCGAATCTGTATATGCAGCGATCGTCACCAGGTAAGTCGAGATACTCGCCAGGGAAAAGCCCAAGCGAGAGCACCGACGAGTCGTTGTCCTCTTCCTCGGGTTCCGGGGTGTTCCTAATGCGGCCAACCACGAGCTCGCGCACATCCTTCCAGCGCAACTCCGAGGCCTGCTCGTGCACGATGGTGATGCGTATACGACGCTGAATGCCCTGATGCAGCAGGAATAAACCGCGACACGGCAGATCATCACTGTGGTCGACCACCGATGGTACGTATTCGCCGTTGGGTGCCAGTTCGCAGATCTCGAACCATACCAACACGTCGTATTTGGCGTGAACGTGCGAGGTACTTGGTGATGGTAGACTTTGCGCAAACTTGGAGGAACGCACTGGCTGGCTGATTGGGATCGATGGGGGCAACATTCTCTTCGGCGGCTGACGCACGCTAGAAAAAAATGTATTTGTGAATGGCTCGATTTTTTCTATAGGACCGTCATTTTAACGCAAATTCAGTTGATAGTTATCTATTTTGTCTTTTTATTTTGCGCTGTATGAGAAGCACTTGTGTGTGACGCGGAAATACGATAATTTAAATATAGAATTTCAAGGTCTAACGGATACTGCGCAGTTGCACCGAGAATTATTACTTGCTACTTACTATTCGAGCTTGGCGTCATTGTGAAGGGGATGCCGTTGGTAATGGCCAAAGACCTCGAAAACAATTGGCTGGGTCTTCAAATATTCGATGAATGACTTTGTAACTGTGACAGTTATCTGAAAAACAGCAATGAAAAAATAAATCAATATCGACTCAAGACAAAGGGAATACGAACAAATGTCAACAGGTAATTACATTTTGTACGTGATAGAAGCCAGGAGGATTGCCTTTGCCAGTATTTTTGACAGGCTCCGTTGAGAAAGCCTCGTCATGGCGGTGCAAAAAGCTATAAACAAAGCAGAAAGTACATGTATCTTCGGCGTCCGCGAGGATATTTTCGCGACCGATCGACGGGCAAATCAACTCACTTGAATTGACAGAATATGTCGGCGTACTCGGTGGCGATGCCCATAGCCTGGAGCACGGTAACGCGGAAAGTGAATTCGGTGCCGGGTTGCAGATGTTCGGGTAGCTCTTCCTCTTTCATGTCGCTCGATACAGAACTGTCGCCGCGTCCGCTGTCGGCGTCGCCAACCTCGTCGTCTTCTTTGAGCTCCTTGCCCTCCTTCACGGTTTCGTTTTTAGCTTCCTTGTTATCGTGCTGGCCTTCGAAAGCGCGCTCTTCCATTATCTGCTGGTGCTGACCTTTCTCTAGGTTCTGCGCGATCAAGGTGTTGCGTCGGTTCTGACGCTGAGTACCGAACAGGTCGTCGTCGAAGGATATGCGAGCGGACTGTCGCACGCCGCTCGAGTACTCGCTGTTTTCCTCTGTCGGCGAAAAGCGTTGGTCAAGCTCTTCGCTCGCAACAAGCAGCTCGTCGCAGCGATCAAGTTAGCGAACAGTACGTACCTATGACAGCTTGCACGGCCACTCGGAGATAACCCTTCACGTCGCCTTTCTCGTTCACAATTGCAATCTTGTGGATCAGTGGTACTGGGTAAAGCAGATTGCTCAGGTACACGAACGATCTAACGGCAAATGTTTGTTAATCGTCGCATCGGAAAACTGCGAAAATTATCTGTGAGTGCCGTTCGGATGCATTACCTGCCAACCATGCGGAACCATGGGAACCTATCGTAAAATGGATCACCACCGGTAATATTCTCAATATTGTAGTCCGGTGACGTAGGTGACAATTCAGCTTCGTTGTGATACATCTCTCGCATAAGCTCCAGTCTTTGCCTGTTTCGAGACAGAAAACATCCGTGAGAATAATTTGCGCGCTTGGCGTCTCGTGAGCGATATCGTTCACGTGGAGAGATCGACGTCATGCTCGATATTGTACGCCGTATACTCATAATCAGAGAGTGTAAGCACAGAGAGCCCGGGAAATTGTTGTTATTTATCGCACGATACGATCACAATTTGCAAGCGGGTATGCGCCAAATAAGCGAGAGTGGCATATCTATCTCTCGTAGATGAAAGTAATCAGGATAGATGAGTGCTATGTCGATTGCTTTCGGGACTGGACTATGCGAGCTATCATTTTTCGTGAATGATTGGTGGCACACGTATGTAAATAAGTAACTAGGACAGATCGTTCAATGGAGTATGAATGACAACAGCGGGATTGCGTAAAAATAACTTGTTCCAACTTGTCCACCTTCTATTCACGCAACGAGTTTGTTCGACACTTGTCGTACTTCGTATTGCGCAGACAAGCGAGAGGTAAAAATAAGCGGAATACTCGGTTTCGCATGGAAGCACTTTGGAAAGATATTGGATAACCGTAAAGCTGCGATTTGTATGCAAGTTGCCAGGGCATTTTTCGCGGGAAGGCGAGAGTAAAAGCATCGAACGAAGAGACAAGCGAGCGCGAAAGGAGAAACATTTCTTTAAATTTGCAACAGCCGCTACAGTGACGTTGCAGTGTCCCCTTTCAGAAATACAAATTCAGCCAGCGCACACACACACACGGACGCAGACGCATACGCACACGCGCCAAAGCGTATAAATATATTCTTTTTGTTTTCGGATGATGTTCAGGAGAGCTCAAATGCCAAACGCAAGGAGCGACACGCTCATACATATTTCAGTAGACGGAAAAAGCGATCGATAGAAAGAGAGAGAGAGAGAGAGAGAGAGAGAGAGAGAGAGAGAGAGAGAGAAAGCAGCAACACGATGAAACTGTCGACCGAGTGCAAAAACTCATTGATTATACCTTTGCGAGTGCGAGAGCAACGTATAAAGGAGTCATTCGGACCGATAAGAAAATTCATCCATTGGCGTGGCTTAATTCATCTCGCTATATTTCACGACTCGTTAATGTGCCGAACTTAGCTGTTCCCAAAATATAGTTATATCGTTTAAATCAATACAATGCCACAACCAGGTGTTTCGTAAAAATGTCCGATTATTACGAACCCGAAGGTAGTGCAAAGATATACTATAGATTTAGACAAACACGGTGCCAAGGGAAATAGTGCACAAAAAAATATTAAAAAAATACCGACTGACTCAGTTCTGACGACAAAAATGAGCTGTGCGCTGTGAGAAAGACACGTATATCACACGATTAGTCGATAGCTGATATAAAAGTACAATAAGCACGACCGCGAGGCTTGCAAAGACAGTGTCATTGTGTGGACGCGCGATCAAAAGAGAGAGAGAGAGAGAGAGAGAGAGAGAGAGAGAGAGAGAGTTAAAAGTGGGAGGTGGGCAAAGCAGGACCGAGCAGCACCAACCTCGATGGCACGAGATTGACGAGCGATAGCTTCGGGTTCAATGCGTGATGAGCGAGGAAGCATTGGAAAATGTCCTCTTTGGCCTCCGGAGTTTTGATCAGGCTCGAATCTTCGTCGTAAGTGTGGCGCATCAGCTCCAAGCGCTGTCTACAAAGCCAACCGACATGTCCCCATTACAATCTTCCGCAAACGTGCTCGCATCAATTTCGCATTCTTTTTCGATACTCTCGCGCGCATGCAAACTCGCCTCTACGGCTGTTATGCCTATCCTCGTTGGTAAAATACAATCGAAAGTGGACACCTTCGTTTACTCATTTCAACTCCGAGCGTGCGCGTCTACGTAGACCAAAGTGTGTTTCTACAGTTAAAGCTTGAAAGAATAAGAAGTTGTATAAGGAAAGGGAGCTCGACCAAATTTTTCAGCGTTTTCATATCGAATTACTTATGCGGTGCCAATTCAGAAACCATGTGTCAATGTTGAAAGTATTCGGAAAGAGTTGCACGACTGGCAAGAAATAACTTACCTGAGCTTGTCGAGAGTCCAATAGTGCGTGGCGCCGTTTTTCAGATCCTGAACTTCGACAGCAACAATGGTGCGAGAGAACGGTCTGTCTTCCTCTTCTTCATCGTCGACATTCGGTAAGAGATCCGGTGGTAGCGGCGAGTACAGCGTATCGGTGAGCAGTGTGAATTGAAATTGGACCTAGGTGGAGATACGCCAATCGATACGGTCAAACGTCACAAGTTGTTTGCGTAATGGACGTCGGTAAACGAATAAACGCACCTTCTTCTTAAGTTCGACGGAAATAGCGTTAGCCTCTTTGAGGAAGATGGCATTGCCCCAGAGATCGTCGCGTAGACTGGTGAACTGATGATACTTCCACTTGCGGAATGCCCAGCTTGCCAGCTGGAATTCGCGCTCACCCCAGTTGCTCTCTGCGTCAAACAATGGATTGACTGGAATGCAAGAGATCGAGGGTCGGAACGATCAGATATATAAGCCAAGCAAAGACAGAATGTGAGTAATGTCGTGTACATAGACAGTGAGCTGCGCGATCGATTAATGCAAGGGATAGTCGAGAGGTCGGGCAAGGAGTCGTGCAGGCAGCTGGACAAGGACGCAACGCGCCGAATGCTCACCAAATATGTCCTCCTCGATGTTGTTGAAGTCTTCAGGCGTGTAGCTGCTGTACATCGACATCGTCATGCTTTGCTCTTCCACTTGCTTTTGCAGGGCGTCTATACGAGCTTCGTAATTCTGAAAGAGACGGATGGCGGTTAGGATGCGAACAAGGACCGACACTGGAAAGCACGCGAGCGCCTTACTTTTCTCTGCTCTTCGAACAGTTGATCCGCCTCTTCCTTTTCCTTGCGGAACTGCTCCTCGAGAACGTACAGCCGCTTTTCCATCTCGGCCTTGAGGTCGATGCCCTGCTTCTCGAGCAGCTCCACCTGGGCAAAGTTCCAGTCGACGTTGGTCTCGCTGAGATTGTTGTTGTTGATCCGGTTGTTGTTGTCGTGGCTGTGGTCGTCGTGGCCGTTGTTGTTCTGAGTCGGCAGCCGAGGTGCCGTCGGGGTCTCCTCGCTGGCCGGCGAGCTCTTCTCCCGGCGCTCGCGCACCTGCTCGGGGTGGTTGAAGCGGAACACGTGGTTCTTGCCGAGAATCACCCGCGAGCCAGTTCTCAGCACGAGCGCCTCGGTGACGGCGCGACCGTTCACGTAGATGAGCGCGCCCTTCTTGGGGATCAGACTGACGGTACCCTCGTGATTCTCGAACACGCAGTGCTCGCTTAGAATGTGAGGACCTGACAACTGGATATCTTGGGGAACGCTGGCCTCGGCGCTGCCTACCCGCGTGAAGCCGTCCTTTATGTAGTAGATCAGACACTCCGACATGAGCGGATCCTCGTTCAGGTTGACCAAGTGCGGAGTCTTCTTGGGCGAGAACACGCCCACGGTCACGCCGTCCTCCTTCACCGCCACCCCCATCTCCGCGAACACCGCCTCGCGCTGCAGGCGGATCGCCTCCGTGCGCTTCAGCTTTTCTTCCCACGTTTCGTTTAACTCTGCGAAAGCGAGCAAACCACCCGTGCTTGAGGAAACGGCCCGCGCTCGCCTCGTCTGCGCCGCATCAGCCAGCAGCACTCACCTGCTATGAGCTTTTCCGACGCCTGCAGTTGCTCCACGGCTTCCTCGGCCAGCGTCGACGTCGGGTGGGAAGGGATCCTTGGTCGCGACTCCTTTGGATCGTCTTCCCGCCGCGAGTTCCGGATAAAAGAAACATCCCCTGCGCAAACAACAGACAAAACACGTTCGCTCGTTAGTCGTTCTTCTGCCGGCCTCCACGAAATTCACTGCAGGCAGTCGCCGATCGTGTGTCGATCTATCGTTTACGCTGCTCGCAACGATCTGCTTTACTTTTGTTTCGTTGGCGATAAGCATAGGCGGAGTCAACGCCGCCAGCAGTTCAGTCACATTGAAAGCTTGAGAACGCGCCTGTGTGCCGCTTGTTCGTTGTAGCGTCTATTTTGCGTGTGATAAATCGAAGCAAAATCCAAAACCAATCAATCAATTTTTCAAGCGCTAAAGGTGTCGCGGAAACTCGTCTACGCATCAACTATTTTATCTTATCATTGGCACCTCGAATGTGGAATATATCATGCAATGCAATCGCAGATATCGTACCAAGCACAGTCCAATTTGGCATAATGTAAATTAAGAAAGCGTTCTTTTGATAACGGCCTTATCCAAGTAAAATTGCCTTGAAGCTTCTGCGAATCTCAATTACAAAACTTTGCTTGAAGAAAGCAATCTTCGAAAAAATGGAGAATCAACACATCGAATAGAATTGCGTGTAACGTATACGCGAAGGTGGCAGCCAAAAGCGGAAGACGACGTTTATCAGCCGAAAGTAAAAAAGTAAAAAATACAGAAAAGTAAATTTTCTTCCATCAGAGACGCGAGATAATGCAAGGTTCTACAATCGATTTTACCTCAGTTTCAGCTTCTGTTTGGTAATGATTTACATGCAAACAAGAGGAGAAATCGACCTTGCGCACGTGAAATACGGTATATCGAGATAAAAAAGCACCGCCTCGCGCCGCCCAGCTTCGAAGAATAAAGTATGTGTCTAAAGGTCTTCTCTATTTTTCGCGTCAACCCGGTGGAAAATTGATAACGTGCCATATTTTTTTTTCCGGATCCAGCAGCTACATTCTCGCAGTCGCCGCGCAGCTACAAACCAAATAACGTACATGCGAACTGATGCGTGTGCGATCGCCAAGCCAGCCGAGTTTCAACTCGCGCGTGCGCGTCTTCGCACAGCACAAAGATAATAGGCGCGATCGTTTAAGATTTTAGGCTGTACATTCTCATTGTCTCGTACCATATTATATCCATTGAGAGAAAAGAAAAAGCCAAATACAAAGCCGTGGGTAATATACAAAAGTATGTACATAATAAAAACCCTCGTTCAGGACTTTTGTCATTTACTTACTGGGATCTTTCTTTTCGTAAGTGATTTTACCATCCGGCCCTATACAGTTGCATTGAGGCGTTAATGGAAGAAAAATAAAATGTAATAATGGCTTGCCTACTTCGCAATACGCTTTTGTTTTTTCTTTCGTTGACTTGTGAATGATAAAATAAGCCAATTGAAAATCGAATTTGTCGTTGATTAAGTGACATTAAGGCACTATTTGGTAGCATATTGACATTATCGATTAGCTTATTAACATGAAATTAGTAAAAGCATATTTTTGTTTGTTAATTCGACTGAGTGTAAAGTATACGAAATGCCTACCTTCTTGGTAGTCGATTCCCTCTTGTTTCAGAAGCTCGCGTAACTTCTGAATCTCCTCCTTAAGCTCGCGAATGATCTTCGCGTTAGCATCCTCGTTGACGACAGCTTTGCAAACGATTTGCTTGGCTCTGTCGGCGTATCTGTGGCAAAAAAGTTTCTCGATTAGCATTTTTTTAGGCGCAAAGACGAGACCGTGCACGTCAGCAAGCTGAAAATACCTGAGAGTTGAAAGAGTTTCGTCGTAGTTGATATCAGCAGGACTGATGGCAGCGATCATGGCCGTTTTGGAGTTACCACCAAGATTCTCACGTAGAAGCCACGTCAACACCGAATCTCGATAAGGGATGAAATCTGCCTTTTTTTTCTTTTTGTCCTTGGAAGCCTGCGCAGACGAAGCATTCAACTCTGAATATGAAACCACATAGCAACTAAGGCCATCAATCACATGCAATACTGAGGACAACTTACCGCCTACGATTATTCGAAAAGCATTCGAAAGACAGGATCGCAAAGCCAGCCGTAAAAAGCGTTAGGCAGGGATGTATTAGTACGTGTCTAGCGATCGTCAAGGCAAACGACAAAGACAAAGATGCGACTTACGATTTCAGCTAGGGCGCTAATGACTTTGCCAAGGGTAGTCAAACTCTTGTTGATGTTGGCGCCCTCCTTGAGGCGGGTGCCCTTAGCGCCGGTAGAGTCGGCGCGCTCGGAGCCAGCAAGATCGACCAGCGAGATTTTGCTCACCTTCTCCGTGGCTAAGCCTGTCACGCCGTCGTGACGTTGCTGCGTGAAGAATATCGTGAAGACCGCGTGAGACCTGCTCGATGTCTCGTTCATGTTGGTCGCTGCGACCGTCCTGTCGCCAAATAAGGTACGCGTCATATTAACTTGGGTCTAATTTTCAGTCAGTTATCATTATCTGCCTTGGAATGTCGAATCGAACGAGACACAAGTGGCTTATTGAAATGAAAAGAGCTTCAGCGTCGTACCTGGCTTTGTTACCCTCGTCGATGAGATCGTGAATGTCCTGATAGGACATGACGGCAAGCTTAGAAAGATCCTCGACGTACGGTCCGAAAAGCGGGTGCTCCCTGACACGCAGGTTTCCCTTGTTTTTGGGATTGAGCAGATCGCGCACGCGCTCGCAGTAGATCTCCATGTAGCTCACTTCCACCGAGTGCTTTACGTCCTCGTTCGAGCCTTCGCTTATTCGCCGAAACAGATCTTTGCATACTTGTGGGATTATGCCTTCTTGGCCTTCTTCTTGTTTGCCCATCATCGTGTATGACTTGCCCGCTCCGGTTTGTCCGTAGGCGAATATGCACACGTTGTAGCCTACGTAACAGCGTGTTTCTTAACTTTATGCAGGGAGCGGAGCTCACATCGACGACCGACTCACCTTCGAAAGCGTGCTCCAACATCTCCTCCCCGATATCTTTGTACACTGTGATTTGATCGGAGTAATTTTCGTCATTGGGCTGCAAGGAGAAAGCCGCCGTCAAACGTAAGTCAAAGCGCGGCGGGCAAACGTACAAGAGTCAATAGTCAAGGGGCTCGTGGAAAGCAAACAAATGAGTTTTCAAGGAATCATAATCCGTTTATGAGAAGAGAAACGCGGAATTCGAGAAACCCTTCCGCAAAGCATTCTGGAGATGTGGGCTTCTTACGGTAGGATACTATTTCGATGAATATTGCACAGTTAGCCGACACGCGTGCTCGGAATTTTTTGGGAATTTCATCAATTTGATTTCTCGTATCTCATTCCGCATCCTCGTTACATTTCACGCAAACAAAGGCATACATGATTGGGTATACTCACGTCCATAGAAAAGTATGAATAATCATAGTTAAAACTTTTGGCGGCATCCTTTGTTCCCGTCGGGACCTTTGGATTTGTTATGGCTGCAAGGAAAAGAAAATCATCGTCGTCAATTGAAAGTATCCAAAATCAACAAGTAGTATAAGTAACTGTTCAGTCGGACGTCTTCGAAAAGAAAAGAAAAACATTCTCTGCCAGTTCCTCAATTCTATCTATGTACTTTTCTCGAACTTAACAAAACGTAAGAAACACGCGTACAAGTCAAGTTTATGAATCACGAGGCGACAAAATGCTCGTAGGCGACGTCACTCGATGCATTTAACGATTTACTCAAGCGCGCAGCTGACGTCAGAGACGGAATCTCGTAAAAGAAAAACTTGCCGGCGCAATAATTCCAATGCCTCCGCAGGCGCATTTGACGAACAGCGGGATGTTCTATCGGGGCGACGTTCTATTTAAACACATCGCAAATAAAAAGATTCTCTTCTGCAGCAATGTCATCTCCCGCGTTCGAGCTTAAATCCACGAGGCGCCCGATATAGAATTATCTACGGCGAAGAGGAAAAGTCAATCAACTGTATTTACAAACATTCGCGAAAAGCGATTAACGTTTAAGCGAGTCACGTTCTAGTGTTCTCCGGGGAAGACCAGAATCGAATGGGTACACCGTGAAAGAGAGGGAAATGGCGTAGCCAATTGGCTGGTTAATTCCGTAAGCAGTCGGTGCGGGGGCGGCGACGCGTCAATAGCACACAAACCCTTACGTGCGGCCTTATACTGCACAGTTCTTTCGCTATGTACGTGTATGGTCGGCGAATCATCCACATCCTCGAGTGCGCGGTCCTTTCGGTGACACAACGTGACGAAGCGTTAATCGGATTCGCGAAAGCATTACGCTTCTATCGAATCTACCAGAGCCAATCAGCTACTTGGAATCCTATCCGTAAATGTCCTACTCGAGAATCTTCTCTGCACAGTTCGAATTTATCAGAATTTGCTGCTTGTTTTTTTTTTCTTTTTTTTGTTTCTGAAAATGTTGAATTGTATAATTCACGCGATCAACCTAAGTTGCCAACTGTTTAACAAAACACGTTACGAAGTTTGATATTCGTTGCGATTTCATAACATGTAACAATGTTGAATTTGAAAACGTCAATGTACGTCGATGCGCAAGCCAATTAATGTCTACATCTGGGAGGTAGTTTCGAGCCGGGAGACCGGATATTACGCGACAAAAGTGACCAAAAATCGATGAGCGTGCGCGTCGACATTCGTACAATCGAGTTGCCACTTCGGTACGAGTCGAGCAAACTCAAATCTCAAATACCGAATTTACGTCACAAGCTTACAGCGAAAGTCGTGGAATGGAAAAACAGCTGATATGCATATTTCGTACAATTGCGAATCTCTGATGCGATTAAAGTATTGTAATCGACAGTGCAAAATATTGAAGTTTCACGGGGCCACCGACGAATATATTCTGTACAAAAAAAATTCTCGGTAATTTTCGCGAGCTCGCTATACAACTGCGTTCGACATCAATGGAAATACCAGCGCCGGAATTACAATGTTGCATGCTAAATAGCACGGTCGACCGTGCGATCATCGAGATGGATAACTAACGCCGCGCCCGCTATATGCCCCGCGCAACGCGAATCGCTCGAGTTAATGCAAAAATTGATCGACAGTCATGTGCGTCGCCTTGCGCGCGCGAAGGTCCCTTGGGCCGGAACGACCAGCATATTTCGGCTGCGAGCCAGAGCGGAAAGGCGAAGAAAACAACAGCAGCAGCAGCAGCAGCGGCGCCACCGCCACACCGGTCTGACTCACGACTGCGGAGTATCGATCCGCAACATGGCTTCCGCGCGCGCGGACAGCCACGCAGAGACGATCCGACTTTTGCCGCTTCTCTCTCGCTCTTTTTCGCCCACTCGCGGCTCCCGTTCGCGTGCACGCGCGATTCGCGGCGAAGATGCGCGCGCGACGGACCGACCGTTCCGGGCGTCGCGCAGGGATGCACACGGCGACGAGCGCGCGGTCAGTCGGTCGCGCACTCCCTCCTGATACATTCCGAATTCCGAAAGTCATCGACAAGACAACGCTGATTGGATTTCAAGCCTCCCGATGACGGCTGGGCGAAAGATTTCTATTTCTACGGCGAAAGCCACATGCCAAGTCGACAGCGCGGGCCTACGCTGCAACGTTTATTCGCGGCTCAACAGAGTCCGTAATGAGGGATAAGCGAGGCTGGCGACGGCAGCTGTGAGTCAGCGTTTTGCGTGTGCAGCGAGGCGGCTTTCCTCGTGCGCGAGTTGCGCGAAAACCGAAAGTCGAGCGGCGAAACGCATCGGCGAATAATAATGGTGAAATTGGCCGCCGCGGATACGCGCGTTGTCACACTTTGGCAATAATGGTCGCCGTAGAGGAGGGCGTGGACTACCGAGCTGATTCATCGCGCGACGCAGACCGATAAAATGACGTAAAAGCTCGGCAGAGTAGTAGGCGACAGACAGATCAAGAGCCCTTTAGAGCTTTATTAATAAATGCCCAAGGGGATCAGCGTAAAGGACCAAAGCCAGACGAATACAGCAGTGCCGTCGTCTGGATCAAGATACTTACAGGTGGTGTTGCCGGTCATCTCGATGATGCACTGAGCCTCGCGGGTTATTTCCCTCATGTTGAAGGGACGGACCCGCACGGCCACCTTCACCGACGACATCTTTCTTACGGTCGTTGGGTCGAGCGAGCCGCTATTTATCTGGCCTCCTGCCCCCTAGCAGCAGCTACGCCTCTGGAACAGACAAGGCACACATACCGATGTTACTCCGTCGTCGTGAAAGCATCTGCTTTGTTATCCTCTATTGTTTCGGCGAAAACCGGATGGCATCGCCGCGAGACCCAAGTGAATCCTAATAGCCGCGCACGAGCGAGAACAATTAATAACAGCTTGCGTCGCGGTTCGCCAGCGACTGCGCGCGATTGCGCGCACGAGCCGTGCATGCATCATACATCATCCATCTCGGCCCGGCTTCAGCTCCCCAGGGTGGGTTTCGCCGACGCTTCGCTCGATCTTCCGCCGACTTCCAGCGCAGTCGAGCCGACGCTCGAGTTTCGCGCGGTGACAAGTGTGTCCGATGCATCCTGCGACATCACTCGAGCGAGTGCAGTTTCGTCCGTAGTCATCGACGGTCCGTCTGCCGCGACGACACGCGCGACCTCGACGGATAAAATTGCAGCTCGCTCTCTATTTCGCAGCGCCCGACGGCATGGGTAACGTGCAGCAGGGTCAAGCGCCCAAGGCGAAGGAGAACACAGCATAACGGACAAAGAAGCAGGAGCCGTCGGGATTTAACGGCGTCGTCAAGCGGGGCTGCGAGAACGTTGGCGCTGTGACGATAAAAGTGCGCGACGCGGCAGGACGAATCTTATCCAGGATGTCCCCGCAGCTATCACAGAGGCGCGCGACTGCCGTTTTCTCCGCGCTCTGCTTCTATATAAAGCACATTGAGCTGCTCGACGGAAGCCGTTGTCGCATTTACGCAACAGGTCATTACGAAGCCGAAGAGTGGCGTGTGGCAGAGAAAGGACTTCTCGACGGCGCAAAGGACGACCGATATTGCTTTATCCCCTCCGAGGGTGGCGCGAGAAGCGCGGACGCCGACAAGCAAGCGAACTGCATAAGAAGCCTTTGTCGGGCATTCGCGTAATAAGATACGGAGAAAAATGAGTCACCCGCCGAACATGCGGCCGAACTGTGTGCAAAGCGGGCTCGTACGGAGAGCCAGCAAGCAGGCGGGACGAGTGGGCAGTCGAGGACGGAGGAAAGCTTGGCCGACGCGCAAGAGCACCTAAACGCATCTGCGTAGGCGACGGCCTTCCGGACGAGCAAGAAAGCTCCGGCGCTGGCGCCCCTCGCCCGTGCCCACTGTCCCTTGGCGAGTTCCGTTGGAAGCCGCGCGACCGATCGACTCGGGGAGTCGCAACCATTTGGCACCCGAAACTTTGGAAACGAGTGCAAGCGCGACGGACCCCTCGGACGTCAAAACAATCCGCTGTCGTTGCCGAAACTCGTCAATTTAACGATCTACGGACGCGCATACTGCGTTCCTTTCATTTGCAATAGACACCGGTGCTTCGTGCATTCAAACGCGAGAGGAAGTTTCGCATAGAACAGCCTGGCCTGTTCGTCGTTACGACGAAGCGATCTTAGTTTCGGAACTGAGAGACGAGAGGAGGACGGTCGCATAACCGTAGAATAGTAGCGCGCAAGCTCACAAGCCAAATATGCCGTGTCAAGGGTGAGTTGCGCGGATCCTTTTCGGCATGCTCGTCCTTTTAAAACTTGTCGCGTGGCCGTGTACGGACGTCGCTCGTCCTTCACGGTGGCCCTTCGTCGACGCGATGTTTCGCTTCGCGCTCTATTTTCCCCTGCCCATCGTTGGACGATTAGCCATTTGATTTTTCGAAGGTCTGATTCTGCCTCGAGATACAAACCCCAGTATTTCCAGAACGATTGCGCGGAAGTAGAAGCGCAACGTTCAAGTTCAATAATAGTCATAAAGCGTAAAAACTCAAGAGGTAAATAAACAAATAATGGAGCAATTAACTGATCGGACAGAATAACGGAAAGCTCGATACACACAGGGAATTATACACAGCGACGATCATCGCGCAAGTATAAAGCTTCCCTTATCGATGTCTAACTGACTTGTGCGCGGGGGAAGGGGGAGAGGTGTGGAGTGACTTCAAGGTCCGATGTTATAGAACCGGCGTTAAAACTAATACGCAATGTGAATCGAAAAAACCCGACGACGCACGTCGATTGGCAGGTGACGTGTTTGATCAATGGCGCCATCCGTCGGTTTCCTACGCGTGCATCAGGCAGACGCGCAAAAAAGAAAGGGGGAGGTGGCACTCAATTGGCAAACGAATTCCAGGGGCGAAGGCTCGTCGTCGCACGGAAAAGTGAAATGTATATAACGAGCGATGGCCCGCGCGGAGCGGCGAGAGTGAGGTGAATCGATAAAGCGAGCGAGTCGGCCCGCCAGCGACTCGCTCGTGCGCTCGCATCGATTTTTCTGCTTTTCCTTTCCATCAAATCGCATTCCTCGTCTTCTCACCTTGCGATCGCCGAATGCCGCGCAATGCAGAGATATTGCCGCGCGCACCGCGCACAGAAAGTTTATACGGTGGCGGAGGTTGGTCGACGATCGATGAGCGAAAACGAACTTTCTCTCTCTCTCTCTGCGTAACTACTCGTTCGAGTGGCTGCTCAAGCCAGCTGCTAGCTGCTGCTGCTGCTGCCGCCGCTGGTGGTGGTGGTGGTGGTGCTGCTGCTGCTGCGTTGCGGCGGACATGGCGAGAGTCCGCGCCCCTTTGCACTCACACGCACATGTGACACACGGATGCACACTATCCGCGGGCTGCAACTTTCGGCCGAGGGTGCACTCGTTTTCTGCTGCTCTTCCTGCTGCTACTGCCTCGGTCGACTGCTGTAGTCGTCGTCGTCGTCGTCGCCGCGGCTCCTTCTCTCGCGACTCGACTCCCTCCGCTCGCCCCGCGAGCGCTGTGGCCTCGAGTTGGAGTGCGCGTGCGCGCGCGGTTCTGCGGAACCCCCTCGACGATCGACACCACCGCGACTACAGCGCGCCCACCGGGCATCCAGCTCCTCTTCCGTCGTCGTCGCTCTACGGATCGGGCCTCGTCTTCAATTTTCGCCGCTGTCGCGTGGACTCGCGACTGAGCGGCGGACAGCTCGACGCTTGTTTTAAGCGTCCCAGTCGAAACTGAAATCAGTCATCGCGGCACCTTCTTCTGCGATCCATTATATATCCGCTAATCCGATTCCCCAGCTAATCTCCTCGGACACATGTCTCGTGGCTGGTCGTAACAATCCGAACATCTCTGCTGATTTGTCGCTTTTCTCCATGTATTATTTTGTGCATTTACATTCAGGATACATCGAAGCGAACGAGAGTACGGCGTTATTGATCGACAAGTCTATCCGAAAGATCACTTGTCCCAAGCGATTCGTTTCTGATTACGCTTCGTTCATTTTAATCCACACTACTTTCATCCAATTCAACCCCGAATTTCCCTAGAATAATTTATAACACCCATACGAAGTCTCAGCCGAATCGGCACCTCGTTCACGATCTGCTTTGTCATTAAGAAATCAATCTTTTATCGCGATTCTTTTCCATTGTACGAAAGCAGGCGTTTCTGACCTTTCAATCTGGAAAATCAACTCAAAAGCGTCAAAGAGAGACGCCCTTGCGAAGCGCGCTTCCTCGTTAACGCAGTGGTCGCCTCGAAAAGTAAAAGTCAATCTCGAAGATTAGAGGCGAGCGACCGGACGAAGCAAAGCCTAGAGTGTACATCCCGCGAGAGTCAGCAGCAGGGCATCGCCAAGGTGACCTGACGACAATTCGGTCGCTCCCGCGCGTTCTCCAAGTAAGCGTCTCTCTTTCTCTCTCTGTCATCTCCCGCCGCGAGGCTGCAACGACGACACTCGTCGATGGGAAGCTCCTATTCTCGCGCGAGCGTCATTGTGTGCACGCGCGTTTCTTCGGGCTCCGGCCCACGGCCACGTAGCCCTCGTACCATTGTGCCCGCAGTGACAACGAGGGCGCACACGCGCGCGAAAGGAAAATAAAAACAAATCACAGAGCGTTCTTTTTTTCTGGGCAGCAGTTTACTTTCTAACGACGGCGCCCTGCAGCATCGTCGCTCGTTATTTATTTATACGTCGAAGTCACACGACGCGGTACGCCCGAGTCCATTCACACGCGTGTGTAAACATGCTCGCAGTTAAATCAAGCCGAATTCACACGACAAAACCAGAAAACTGGGCTTCTCTATATTGTTGCGCAAGCTTGCACGCGCCAAAATGTTTGCAATTGCAAGCTCGTCGGAGAGACGGGGGTAAGGGGGAGGGGTGACGAGAACAAAGGACCCGAGCTGCCAAGCGCACGGGCGGAGAACAGTGGAGCCGAGGTGACTTTACCCACGGAGTATATTAGTCGCAGCGGTGCTGCGCCGCCAGCCGACGGAGAGGACCAGTGCGCGGGCGCCGCGGGCGCCGCGGACGCTTCTCGCTCGCTTGCGCGATCAATAGCGTAGGGGATAGGCTGACGTCACGGACGAGCTCAGCCTGCGCGAGACGTTGCTTCGCCACCGGCAATCAATATGGAGCGACGAGCGACGGAGCCGCGCTGCCGATCGCACCTCTACGGTCTTTGCCGCGTGTCGCGCCCTCCTCGGCATCGTCGTTTTCTCGGCCCTCCAGAGCGACGCGCCCGCGCTCCTTTACGTAACTGCCGATGATCGCGCGCGCTCGTTTCGCGGGCGCGCGAGCGTACTCGGCTGGATTTGTTCCTTCGCAGGCTGATTCTTCGCGTGAAAACAACGTTGGAAGCTTGAATATGGACGAAAGAGCTCTCGAGAAATCGAGCTCTTCTGCAAGTTTGCGCGTCGGCACAGACAAGGGAGAAAGATGTTCAGGCGGAGGGAAAAAGAATGAGAGTTTGCTTTTGTCGATTCGCCAACTTCGCCGAAAAGGGGAGAAGAAGAAAGAACGGCTTTAACAAATTCAATTGTTCCCCCTTTCTTTCTTTTCACTCTCGACGGCTACTTGTTTAAGACGAGTAACTTCTTTATAAATCTCTGATTGTGAAAACAACCGAGAGAGAGCGAAAAAATTTCCAATTGATCTTATTATATGTAACTGTGCTGCAGCCAATACTTGAACGAGGAACGATAAAGAGAAATAATCACGATGTTGTTCCGAACGCCAGATCGTTCAATCAGAATTTTAAATGTAATTTATTGTAATTTGAATCAAATTTAAAAAAGTGTTACTCGTGGCAGAAGTCTTGTCACGAAAGCTCAAAGAGGAGTTTTTATCGTCGCCCTCACGCACAAAGCGGCGGCGCGTGGCAATTGGTGAAGCACGGGACAGATAAACAAAGTGGTTTACCTGCGGACAATATAGGCATCCGTCATAGAACAACTTAAGAAGATAGCCAGCGTTGCGACGTAATGAAAAAGAGAAAAAAGAATAAAACGAGCGAGCGAAAACAGGTCGTTAAGCGGGTGACGAGACGAGTCGTTTGATTTTTAACTTATCTCAAACATTAATAAGTTTGTGTTGCAAATGAAAGAAAATAAAGTTATTGTCATATTGTGTTCATGAAATCAATAAAGTCATAAGTAAATACACGCGAGATATCGCTAAGCTCTGATTCATCCCCGTAGCAGTCTGGAAACATTTATAATCTATGGAATATCGTAAGAAGTAAGAAAATAAACATCCATATTGGCCAATGTCTCTGGAGATATCCAATAAAATAAAAGCAGTCAGACGGGCATTCCTGAGAGAGGACAAACTTCTCTTTATTATTTTGCGCTAGAAGGACGATGTGCGTGGGCATGTGTGTATATCTCCGAGTGAGAGATTTTTTTCTACTATGGCAACGTAAAACCATTCCACGCACTAGCTGCGGCGACACAGTTATGTGCCGAGGCTATAGCCATGTGTTTCAGTTTCACCTGTTTCATTATTTTTCCCCTCTCGCACGATCACCTCTTTACGCGCGGCTGCGCAAAACCACATTTCCCACCGTATACGTGGTTTTGTTCTTACGCGTGCTCTCGTACTGTCGCGGGAATGTCTTGCGGTGTTTTTTTTTCGCCGTCTCATTACACGTCTAACATAAGAATTCGGTTGGGCAAACGATCTACCTCGCCCTCGCACACACATTCCGTCCTACATGTTGCAGGGTGTCATTACATTTGTTTCGAGTCGATAGAATTCGACGGATAAAATATTCGTAATGTTCGCAAATTTAAGTTGAAGTTTGAATCAACTCTATTTCCAGTCGTTATTAGGTGATCAATCGTTATACAAGAAAGTGAACTTTCTATGTCGGACACTCCCGCAAACTGAACTTGGCATTGATGATTTCAAGGAAAGCCATTACGCGTAACAATGTCGACTGGGAATTGGCAGACTTGAGCTTAGTAGCCATTGCGCAAATAATTAATCCAGCGTACAAAACTGTCGGATGGTGTTATAAGCTTAAGCAAGCACTCAAGTAAAGTAAACATCGCTCGTAATAGCTCCGCAAGTGGCAAATCAAGCTGGACGATGGAGCCGTTATAAGAGCCAATAGCCTAGAAACGAGGGAGCTATTATCGTTATTATGCACGGCTGGCCGAGCGCAATGCTTCGAGCTCTCAGCGCTGCAGCCAGCGTGCGCAAGGCACAGCAGCGCCCAGTTTCATCGGCGAACGTTCGATCTCGTTCTGCCATTCCGTCCAGCGTCGCGATGTTCGCGAGATCGATTCGCAACAGCTGACCGTTTCATCGCAATTACGCGCGCTCAATTCCCAGCCACGACCAACGACTAAATCCCGTGCCTACTCCTCGAGTGCAAAAAAAAAACACAAAAGCAATACGAGATCGCGAAGCGGCGAGAGTGAGGACGTGCCGCGCGAAAGTAATGAGCGCGCGTCCGACCAATAGGCGTCTGGCACTACGGGGTTCGTGAGTGGGATAGGTCTTGCTCGTCCCTCGAGGTGAGATAGAGAGAGTTGAAGAAGCTAGCCTCTAAGGAGGAATTACATCGCGCTCGCAGTGGCGCCGGCAATGGCAGAATTTATAGCGGCTCAGTGATTTATATTTTTGAAGAGCAACACATTTTGCGACTGCCGCGAAAGAATTATTTGCCCCCTCTCTCTCTCTCTCTCTCTCTCTTTCTCCGACAGTGCGATATCGCTGCCTTCTTTAAATTTTCAGTTCAATCTGCGGGAGAAGGCGGAGGCAATTTTTAAATTCCATACCTCTATCGGCTTTTATCGGACTTTTGTGCTTACCGATTCGGGCGACCCCGTCGATATCGCTGAATTATCCCTTCGCATATGCGTACACTGAACGAATTATCATTATCGTTTCCGGGGAAGGCATTCGTTTAATTATGCGCCGACCGATAGTCGCGCAACACTCGACAACCATCGTCTCTGCAATTCCATTTATGAGAAAGCGAGTTTCGACGTAATAACCTTGCTGCATGCGGATTAAATTCGCGCAACTCGAAAGTGCTCGCGTCAATGAAACGAGCGAGTTTGAAATATTCGTGAGGCACTCACTTTTTTTTTTTTCATCTCGGTGAACGTGACCAAACCCGGTCCGCTACTAATTGCAAAGTGCCTCGTTGAAAGAAAAAACGCAAAGCTTTCTCTCTCTCTCTCTCTCTCTCTCTCTCTACCGGTGAAGGGAGAAACGTACGTATGTCCGACTTACTACCGAGTTGGAGAGAAAACGAAATTCACGCGTAGCTTCGCATTTCTGCTCGAACTGTCTTTATCGTGTCAACTCTGGCGCAACGATCGTCTTCGATTTGTCCAGGGACGCTAGCTTTAAAGGCATCTCAGCATCGCCAAGGCTCCGGTTCGTAACGTCGTTTGGGCCTAGACTCGCGCAGCACGCGAGGAAAGGGTCGTGCATAGGTGGCGCGCAA